AATTTTGAAACGTAAAAAGTTATTTTTATATGTAACTTCATCTACTTATTACTCTATACATTAAAATTCAGAATGTATAAAGTCATTTGCAATGACTACACTTACTTATTACTCTGTGCATTAAAATTCAAAATGTATAACTTATGAATTAAAATTATATTTTATTCACACTTATTATTTTTAAATTATATTTAAAGAATATTTATCTATATCTATATCTATCTATATATCTATGTAAAATTGACTGCACCTAATCATTGTTGAGTGTATTAAATTTTGAAACATAAAAAGTTATTTTTATATATGTAACTTTATCTACTTATTACTCTATGTAACTTTATCTACTTATTACTCTATACATTAAAATTCAGAATGTATAAAGTCATTTGCAATTACTACACTTACTTATTACTTTGCATATTAAAATTCAAAATATATAACTTATGAATTAAAATTATATTTTATTCACACTTATTATTTTTAAATTGTATTTAAATTTTTTTTATCAGTATTGACGATTATATTATGTTACAAACGTCAACATAAATATTTATACTATAAATTAGCTTAAATTATTGTTATTAAAATTAATTATAATATTTTTATAATTTATGAATTAAAATTATTACTGTATTTTAATATAATCTATATTTTATTATGTACTTCAAACATTAAAATATATTTTAAATTAAAAAAATTAAACTTATAAAATTATTAGTTTATATTATATGTTGTTAAATTAAATTTATAATAAAAGATAAATTTGTATATTTAAATTATTTTATTAATTAGTTTAACATAATATATATTTTAATATGTAGTTTAAATATTAAAATATAATTTAAATAAAAAACACATTTATAAAATTATTTGTTTATATTATATATTGTTAAATTAAATTTCTAATCAAAATACAATTTTACATATTTAAATTATTTTATTAAATATTTTAATATAATCTATTTTAAAATATTTATTAACAATACTAAATTGTAATTTGAATTAAAAATACTACATTTATCAAATTATTAGTTTATAATATATATTATTAAATTAAATTTTTAATAAAAAGATAAGTTTACAAATTTAAATTGTTCTATTAATTGTGTTAATATAATATATAGTTTAATATATATTTCAAAAATTAAAACTTAATTTAAAGTAAAAAAAAATTATACTTACATAATTATTACTTTATATTATATATTGTTAAGATCAAATAAAATAATTTAAAATGTTTCATAATTTTCATAATTTAAGAATTATAATCATAATTAATTTATACTTATTATTTTTAAATTGTATTTAAGAAAAATTTATTAGAATTGATAATTATATAATGTTAAAAATGATAATAACAAAACTACTGTAAATAATATTTAATAAAAAATTATTAAAAATTATTATAAATAATTTAAACAAATTTCAAAATTTTCTAGGTTAAATGTTAAAAATAGAAAAAAAAATATTAATTAAATTGTACAAAAATACTTTTGAGAAAATTTGATGAAATTCTTGAGTTATCTTTTAATTATAAATAAAAATGTATTTTTGTTTTTAACTTTTATTTAATATTTGAATGTTAATTATGCTTTTATATTATATATTATTAAATTAAATTTCTAATGAAAAGACAAGTAAACTATAATACAAATGAAAATAAAACTTTTATTATATTAATTTTTTATTTTCTGACTTTTCATATATCAAAAAGTAGGATTTCATCTCTATTTATATAAGTCATACAACTTTTGAAAACTGCTCACGATTGTTTCTATTGTCATCTTTTTTGTTTGTATTTTACAATCATATTAGCTGTCAAAAATTATCTACCCACGTAAGTACATATATTTTTAGTTTATTTCACTAAATTGTGTTATATATTTCAATTTAATTTTTTGAGCAAACATAAAGCTGTATTTTTTTTAAATGATATTATGTACTGAAGTTTTTTTAACAGATTAATTTGTATCAAATCTATCATTATTATTCATGCTTTTGTAAGAGAACAACAAGTTGCAATGAAGATAAATAAACTTTTCTTAACGATCTGAATTCAACAACAGATGATTGTATTCAACTTATATCTCCAACCGTGGAAACACCAAACCAAAAAGAAGAAGAAAATCAATGTATACATTATAATTTTGTAATATATTGTTTAAAAGACAACAATAGAAGATTTAGAAGATTAAATTATTTTTATTGCAATATTGTATAAATATTTTTAACATTATGCAGACTTTAAAAAGTAAAATGTCATAAACATTTAAGTTTTTTATAAAATAATTTTGTTATCTTATTATATATATATATATATATATATATATATATATATATATCTCTTATTTTATTATTATATATATTATGTATTAACTTTGTTCTTAACATAAAATTTATTTAAATTTTATGTGACTCATAAATTTTATATTATATCAACATTTGTAATTTTAATTGATATAAAGATTAGTTTGTATATTAAATAAAATTATTATTCTCTTTTAGTTTCTACCTAAATCTTAAATAAAATTTTTTTAACTACTATTTTTTTCTCTACTTCTATTATTTTATTTTTATTTTTTAAAATTTAATAGGAATTGACTTATCATAATTATGTATAACCTATTAATATAGATAATATTTTATTTATATTTTATATTATAATAATTATAATAACAATTTTAATTTTTTTAAATTAAAAAATTAACAATATTTTTACTTAATAATTTTGTTGTAATTTTTTTTTATAAAATGTTATAATGATAATGATGTTATATTGTAATTTTTTTAATGTTATAATATATAGATAACCATGCTTTCTAATGAACAAATTGTGTCAGTTTGTGGACTTAAAGTTAGTTCTCAAGATATAAATCAAAATATAAGTATTATACGTAAAAATATTAATTTAATACAAATTTTTTTATTAATATAATTATCTATTATGTTATATATTTAAAATTATATATTTTTATTTTAAAAAAATATTTAAATTAGGTTCACTAAATATTAATTTTTTTTTTTGTAAAACTATATGATATATCAAATATTAGATTGCAAAAATAGACATATAAACATCACAAAAAAAAATTATATCTAAAAGCAATCATTAAATCTCAAATACACTATATTTATATAAAAAATATTATATATAAAAAAGTATTTCATAATCTTTTTTAAAGTAATTATATTTAATATAATAAATTTTTTATCATATTTATATATTATATTTTAAAATAAATAAATTTAATAAAAATAAAAGAAATCCGTGCAAGGCACGGGCATATTTACTAGTTAATTATAAATTTTGTTTACATACTTTCATTTATTATAAGATTTATGTTAATGAAATACTCATCCTTTTTAAATATATTTGTTCATTTAATATATAATATACCAATTTAACCATTTAATGTTATAAATATTTTTAAAATATAATTTAAATTTATGACATAAAACTGTTTTTTATTAAACTTGATAAATTAGATATTTTTTTTCTAAACAAAATCGAGGATAGTTCTTTATAGATTGAATATTAAATAAAAATATGCTTGCATTTTTTATTATTTTGAAATAATAAAATATATTTAATACTTTCTTCATTTATTATTCACTTCTATTTTTTTTAGCATAATTAATTATTTATATTTCAATTTATGTAAACTTACATAATATAAGTTTAATTATTTATACATTTTAACTATTTTTTAATAATTAATTATTTAATATCTCTCTCTTTATTTTGTTAATTTTTTATTTTCAATAGCATCTCTTAATTAATTGTTAAAAATTAGTTAAAAGTATGTAGTTAATGAGACTTGTCCTATCTAAGTTTATAAATGATAGATAAATCATTTAATTTTTTGCTTTAAATATAAAAAATAAAGATTCATTTTCAAATGTGTTAATTATTAAATTATTTTTATATATTTATATATCGTGAGATTTTAGCTAAAAAAATACTTACTCATTACTGATAAAGTAAATATATTTATTTATTTAATATATAATTTATTAATTTGACCATTTATTACTATGACTAATTTTGAAATATAATATAAATTTTTGAAATATAACTATTTTTTTTTATTTGTGTCCATGAATTATTTGTTTTTAATATAAAACATAAAAAATAATTACAAAGATTTTATAATAATGAAAATAGATTTATAAGAATAAAAAGTAGGTGAATTTAATTTTTTATAGAAAAATAAATATTGACTATACTTAACAAAATGTATAAATTGACATGTATTGTTTGGCAATATCAAAATGATTTTATGGTTCATGATGGTAACTTCAACTTGAATGATAGAGATCCAATAATGATACCAATATGCATAAATACATGGAATTCACACTCAGGCCAAAGTTTATGCCTCAAGAGTTGTTAATACATTTAATGATGATTGGATTAGAAAAATAAAAGTAAACATTAATCAATGGTTTGTGTAAAATTCTTTATTCTTCTTGTGGATGCCAAAGGATGAACATAAATGGACTCATTGCACGTTCTCACAGGGTATCTTCTTCATATTAGTATGCTAAATGCTAAATTATATATTTATTATTTTAAAAACACGAAAACATTTAATATTTTTTATTTAATAATTAAGAAATTTTATAAATAAAAAAAAATTTCAAATTAAATATTTAAAGAAAAATTTTACTGACAAATAACTTCCAATAAAAGATAAAAGTGGTTTAGAAAGAAAATACAAGGAAGGAGAACTAAAAATTATTCATATTTTTTACTAAATAAGAAAAAAAAACGAAAAATTGCCGATAAAATCAAGAAAGCTCCGATAAATTCACCTACTTGAATTGAAATCTCTTGGCAGGCCCCACTGAAATACACGCATTATTTTTTTTTTCTTTCAATTAATTTTCCAAAAGTAAAAAAATTGAAATAAAATAATTATTCTGTGCTACAAAGCAAACAAGATGAGAACCGGCTCAAATTTATTTATTTATTTATTTTATTTTTCTGATTCTTATTTAGTTTAAATTTTCTTGCAAAAATAAAACAGACCAGTGAGATTGAATCAAGGTTGAAGTGTTTTCTCTATGCACAGGAACAGAAGCAGAGAGAGAGAGAGAGAGAGAGTTGAAGAAGAAAGGGATTGATTTGAAGCTGAAGAGTGAAAATCTATGGTGTTGGTTGGGTTTGTGAGGAACGATTATTGAATAAAGCCACTTGAATCGGCGTCGTTTTGATTTCTCACTGACACTCTCTGACTTGGTCAGATTCAAGTAAACGCTTCTTCTTCTCAAACCCTAGGTTCGTGTGTTTCTTCTTTCAATTCAATTCACACTTTTGCTCTTGATAATCTATTAGTTTTCGATGTTGCCTGTTTCATTTTCCGATCATTGATGGATTTTCCCTTTCGTGGCGATGTGTGTGTGTTATGGCTTTATCAGTTTATTGCCTTGGTGTATTTCGTTGATCGAATGCTGTAGTGATGTTTTGTTTGTTGACGTTCGTAGTTATTGATGGCCAATTTCTGTGTTTATGGGATGTGGCTATGAGGAAACGTGTGTTTACATGCTGAATCAAAGAGATGTTGCTGTTAAAGCGCTAATAAATGTGTATTTTTTTTATTTGTGGTTTTTTTTTTTTCATAATTGGAGATTTGGACGTTTATTAGGCACCCATAAATTTTGTTGGTTTATGCATAATGGTTATCCATCATTGGGTTCTGTATCCAAGTTAATCTAACAGGCATTCATTATTAACACTGTAATTTATTGATTTTTAGGTTGATAGAGATTTGAGAATTGGGGGGAATAAATTTTGCATAGAAAGAGAGTTAGTGTGTAGAAAATAGCAGCCGGTATTTAAGTAAACAATGAAAAGCATTAAGAGAAGGTGGACATTTTTGTTGCTTGGTGTTTATTTTAATAATAAAATTTTGCAGCTATGAAGGTATAAATAGATGTGTTATTAGATCTCTTGAAGTTTATGGGATCTAAAAAACTTATCTTTTCAATGCTTGAGAACTAAATATGCTGAAATACTGTTTATATTGGGGAGAAGAAATCTGTACCCTGATGCCATTTGTTCCCTTGTGGGAAGAGTATCGATTGCAGTGCTAGAGGTGTACAAGAAATCTATGTCATATATTTCAGATCAAATGGATTCCATTAGGAAAGGCTTCATGATACATCTGGTGTGGTAGGTTGGAATTGCCAATGATGCATTGGTGATATTTTGTGTTAGCAATTGGAGATGTAATTAGCAAAACTGATGTCTTGTTGAACTGCTGAAGCTTTATTGCTAGTGATGCTGACTTTACAAAGAATTGGTTAAACAAATTACATTTATTTGTTCTCAAAGAGTGATGAATGGACAGCCGGATGGTTTTGTTATGCTTCTTCTTGGATGTTGAGTAGATAAAATAAGTTTTAGGTTCTATTGTACAGGCTCAAGCACGGGAAATATGTAGGAATGGGAGATTTTCAAAGGTTTGTGGTGTTGACTAGGAGCTCTCAAGTTTTGAGGACATTGTTTTTCTTTTTCTTTTTAATAAAAGGAGAAATTCACCAAGACAAAATGAAACAAAAAATTAGAGAGTTCTGAGGATAAGGAACCCTCCTCCATAATGTAAGAGCAAAGCACTAAGCAACAAAGAAAAAAAAAAGAATTAGTGGTGCAAAGCTTTCCAATCTCTCAGCATATCTGTAAGGGAAACCTCTTGAAAGGCCCATGTGTTTTATACCAAACAGAAGCCATTTAGTGCCTAATCTTCTTATCCCAAATCAACAACTGTTGTCTCAGATCAGATAAACCACCTCAACATTTGAGAGTCATGCGCCAACATAGTGACCAAATGATAGCATGGATTTTATATTTCCAAAATAATTTAGCCTCTTCTTACTTACACCAAAATCATGAAGGCTAATCATCAAATATTGGTTAGGGACTTAGAATATGCCCAAAATTTGTGAAAAGGACAAACAAGGAATTCGATATAGAAATAGCAGTGGAACAGTGTAAGAACAAATGTAAATTTGATTCTTAGCAGGCTCCATAACATACATGAGCGGAGAGAGCCATATGTGGCCTCTTGCAACATGTAAATTAAATTATTCTACTATGCACATGAATCCAACTAAAAGATTTGATGTTAGAGGGAGCTTTGAGCTTCCAATAAGGTTTATCAAAAAGGAAAGTAGCTCTATTCACAGTTCAAACATGAGTTAAAAATTGGAAAAATAATTTGCTCAAACACGCCCCTAGAATCCAGGAGACCTAAAAGAAATGCCAATGCCAAGCTTTCTCATGAGAAATTTGGAAATTTCATGAAATAACTTAATATTGAATATGATGTAAATTGTGAATAAAACAGTTGTGCAAGGAATAAGGGCAATTGGGATTTGGGAAAACATATATAATACTCTAATCTTTAATCCAACAGTCTTCCCAAAGTTGCACATTGGAGCCATTACTCACATTTTGGGAATGCAGAGTTTTAAGTTACCAAAACTGAGATAAATTCCTATAGACCATGAGGAGAGGAGAAGCTTGGGCTGCTGGTTAGCAAGTTAGCAACTCACCCATTTTGATCTCAGCCATAGTGCCATACCTACCCAATTATTTTTTGTTAGCTTAGGTTTTTAAAATATGACATGCATGGAATTTTATTTCCTAATTAATGGGGATAAATTGTATTCTTTTTTCAGAAAATATCTATATATATACCTCAACTTCTCCTTGTTTTTGTGCCTAAATTCCTTGTTACTTTATTTTTGCTTTCATATTTGTCAGGGTGTTAATTGGTGAGTTCCTAGTAACGTGATCACTTAAATGAATCATATGGAGCTTTGGATGACTAACTTGAGATTTCCTTCCGTTAGTTGATTGTGCATCCAATTAGTAGATAAGAAAACATGATATCTTATCCAGAAGTTAGATTGCTCATTTGGTTTAAAAAATGTTCTCAATTTTTCATTTCTGAAATTAATTTTCATTTTCTTTTTTCACCATTTAGATAACATGTTTGGATTTTAATGAATGAAATTTCTTTTCATTATTTTCATAATCATGTTTCTCCATGCAAAACAACTATGATTCTCACAAATCACAAGCTCATGCAGATTCAATATTCTATTCATTACAGAAGTTATTTCCCTATGTATCTGCACTATCTTACTAGTTCAGAACTTTTTGAATTGAGAACCTGTTCCTAAACTGGAGCTTCCTTTGGTTTTTCCCTCTACCTTATCTTCTCAGTGAAATCTTTGGGTTAAAATATCTGCATCTTCATTCTAGTGAAGACAGCTTAATTATACTTGAGAAAAGGGAAGTCGGTTAATGAGAGGAATAACACGGAAGCATGGGGGGTACAACCCTTAAAACTTTCAAAGAGATCAGAGTTGCATAGTTGCTCAGAGTGTGACATACAGCTGTTAGGAGCATTGAGTGTTTATTTGACAGATAATTTTTTTAAAATTCCTATTAAATCATTACAAGACAACAAGGGTTGATATGGTATTTTTAAATCTTCAACAGATTAGAATCCAACTTTCAGGAAACAAAATTAGTGAATAACTTACCAAACCTTTTTTTTTTTAATTTCTTTACAAGGAAAGTAAATCAAATAAAGCCCTACTGTATCCCCATAGGATTTGGATTACATAGATGGCAGATTTCTATTTGCTGCAGGGATTGATGGGAATCTTTATTTATAGATAGTGTTGACAAGTTGTTTTCAAGGTTTTAAATATGAATGGATCCTCTATGGTGTTTGGCTTTAAACTAGAATGATGTAATATTACTGTTTTTCATTTGAAATTTAATCCATCATCTTTTTTCTTTTATTATGCAAATATTGACGTGGACTAAGTTAGATTATGGTTTTTGATAAACATCATGTTAATGACTTATGACATGCATTGAGTTAGATTGTGGATTTTGATAAACATCATGTTAAGTTGAATCTAGAAGGATGCCTGGAAAGTTTGAAAAAAGTAAGGGAATAGTTGTGCCACGAATGCTTCATGCTAGCCATAACCTCTATTTATAATAATCCTATGACAGTACGACTACATTAAGAAACATTTACTCTACTTTTGGTGTACAATGTGCGACAGAAAACTACTCATGTACTCTCTAAATGCAGATGACTTTCCTTAATACTTAATAGCCTAACAAAAAGTGAGGCATAGAATAGTTTACTGTTTTTGTAAATGCTATTAATTTTCTTTATGTGCATATTGTTATAGACGTAACATAAAACCATCTCTTCACCTAATAGCTTGAGCTCTTGGAATTGCTGGTTCATGACATGGTATTAGAGCTTCTATGACCAAGTGGTCTAGAGTTTGATCCTTGCCATCTCCATTGTTCTAATAAAAAGTTAAATTTCAGCACAGGATGGGTGAGCTTGTGTGTTATCTGCTCTGTGAGCCCAGCCCCAGAGAGCTCTTGCATGAGGGAGCATGTTATATATGTAGTATTAAACAATTTGTGTCTTCACCTAACAGCTTAAGCTTTTAGGATTGCTGTTTCATGACTTGTGTGTATGTAATGGATGTAATTTTTTGGGGTTATTATTGCATTAATTTATGGATCTCTCCTAATTCTGTTCTGTAATATTTTTCAATTTGTGCGGACAATTGTTTGATTTTCTTGAGCAGTAATTATGTCTTTTGTCACCTTTGCTGCAGATATTGGAGATTGATGTGACATCACCTACCTATCTCTGCTGGCAGTGCTGAATAGATACCTCTGGTTTTATCTCATGCTATTTAAGTTGTGGAATATGTAATAGTACCTGTTTAATTTGTTGCACTGTTCTGACTGATAAGTAGATGCGTGTACTCAAAATTCTAATTTGGCAATATTAATTAGCATTGAATGAGAGCATTTGTAAGTTACATTATCATTGGAGTTGAAAGGAAAATTTTGGTTGGGAAAAATTAAAAAAAAGGAGCATCTTCATAAAGTTGTTGGATGCACTTTCTAGTTTGGTTTGAGGATAGGGGATATGCTACCAATCTCGAAGTATTATAACATTGGCTTCACCTCTTCAGTATGCGATCTATTTTTGTTCAGTGTTTGCATTTAATAATAAACATATGGATGGTATGATATAAGAAAAAAGATGGAGTATGTTTTGGAAAAAAGATTTCCTCTTAGGGCAGAAGATTACAATCTATATGAAGAAGTTGGTGAAGGCGTCAGCGCATCGGTATACAGGGCTCTCTGCATTCCCCTCAATGAGATAGTTGCCATCAAGGTTCTCGATCTAGAGAAGTGCAATAATGATTTGGTATGTAGACTAATATATTGTTTCCATATTTTATGCTACTTTTCCTTTTCACTTAAACTTTGTGCTATTTGCTTCATGCTTGGATTCAATGGCTTACAGAAATATAAAAAGACTGATTTCAGTCATCATTACATTGTTTGGTGTTAATTTATGTATGTGGTGTTTTGGTTGTTCCCTCTATAATATGAGGATAATTTCCATCGTAGTGATAGGCTGATAGATGTGCAAATTATGCAGGATGGCATTCGAAGAGAGGTACAGACCATGAGCTTGATTGATCATCCAAATGTTTTAAGGGCACATTGCTCTTTTACTACTGGACACAATCTATGGGTTGTGATGCCATACATGGCTGGGGGGTCTTGCCTTCATATAATGAAATCTGCTTATCCTGAGGGTTTTGAAGAGCCTGTTATTGCTACTTTGTTGCGTGAGGTTCTCAAAGCTCTTGTCTATCTTCATGCCCATGGTCACATACATAGAGATGTTAAGGTATTGTGCATATTAACAACTATCTTTCCTCTAACTTGTCTAATTGGCATTGTGTGATTGAATTGGAGATTTTGAAAGAGCTCAGTTTTCTGCTTTTGTGGTGCTTGTAAAGCTGTATCTGAACCCAAGAATAATTTCTTCTTATGTGCGCGGATTTTTCTCTGCCATTTCTCCACTTGTTTGCCCGTATGGTCTTCTGTTTTTCTTCTCCTTTAATTATTTTAACTATGCAGGCTGGGAATATTTTGCTAGATTCTAATGGTGCTGTCAAACTAGCTGACTTTGGAGTGTCAGCATGTATGTTTGATACTGGAGATAGGCAACGCTCAAGAAACACTTTTGTTGGAACACCTTGCTGGTACTATTCTATTGAGCCTCTTTTGTGGTAGTTTTTCAAATAAAATTTGGCTACCATCATAAGAATGACTATTGACGTTATGAATTGTGTTAATTTTTTGCAGGATGGCTCCTGAAGTTATGCAGCAATTACATGGATATGATTTTAAGTAAGTGTCTTCCATTATTCCCCTCTCACTTAGGTGTAATTCTATCATGGTCATCTTCTTACTACCTGATATCTTAGTCTCTGCTGGGGTTCTTACTTTTTATTTTCTCTATCACAGAGCAGATATATGGTCATTTGGTATAACAGCACTTGAACTTGCTCATGGGCATGCCCCATTTTCCAAGTACCCACCAATGAAAGTAATTTACTTGTCTTCCAATACTCGCATTTGCCTACTGATAAGCCTTTCTCAGTTTTTACTGTGAGGTCAGGGTTGAATTTTTTCCCATATTTTTGGGGATGCAGGTTTTGCTTATGACTTTACAAAATGCCCCTCCAGGTCTTGATTATGAAAGAGACAGGAGATTTTCAAAGGTTTGTGGTGTTCACTAAATCCTTTGTAGCATCTATTTCTTACCTAAGTTGTTTACATATAGATTGTTCCTCATCTCTTCCCAGTCTTTCAAAGAGTTGGTTGCTACCTGCTTAGTGAAAGACCCAAAGAAACGTCCAAGTTCAGAAAAGCTTTTAAAGCATTACTTCTTTAAACATGCACGTGCCAGCGAATATTTAGCTCGCACCATTCTAGATGGCCTTGCACCATTAGGAGATCGTTTTAGAGTTCTCAAGGTTTGCTGTTCATTTGCAAATTCTTCTGTTCTGTGTAAAAATTGTTTGGATTTTGTTATCATTCCTCTTGCTTGTGTTGCAGGCTAAAGAGGCAGATTTATTAATGCAAAACAAGGCTCTTTATGAGGATAAGGAGCAATTATCTCAGGTATATTTATTTTACATTGTGTATTAAATGCTTTCTTCTGGCATAGTCTATGAAAGGTGATGATTTTATAAGTTCTGTTTCTCATTATGTTGACATTAAATATGTCATTTTGCTGTATTATCATGCCTGTTGTATTGGATCCATATTCCATATTTCATTTTATAACTAAACCATTATGATTAAGAGTATACTATATTTGATTGGGGCAACTATTTCATGTACAGAAAGAATATATTCGAGGAATTAGTGCCTGGAATTTTAACCTGGATGATTTAAAAAGTCAAGCTGCTCTTGTAAGTATTTTCACCTTTCTACTTTGTCTTATTTGTTTATTTATTTATTTTAATTAGCTGGAAAAGTTGGGCATTGCTGGGCATCATTATCTTTCTTGTGAACATTTTTGTTTTGCCAACAGATTCAAGACGATGACATACCAAATGCAGAAGAGCCAGATAGGGATAAGAAACAAAAAAACAGTTTGGATGACTTCAGGGTTCCAGCAGAAGGGCTATCTGCTGTAGCAGCTAATCATTCAGATGGTGCACCCACGCAAGACAAGGAGGTACTGTTATTGTCCTAGAATGATCTATAATATTTTCTTGAAATCTTCAGTGTACTTTGCATTCTTTTTGAACTATAAACCATTTCTTTTAAGTATACTAGACAGAATTTACATCATATCTTATTTCAGGATGGATTTAACAATATTCAGGATTTGGAGGGTTCACTTGCGTCATTTCCTATCAAACCTCTTCAAGCACTCAAGTATGGTTATCTCCTCCAGCTTTTTCTTTTCTACTTCTTTATTTCTATTTTTTTAAGTGTTTGTAATGTGTTTGGGATATGATATCATTTATTTTTCCGGTTTATGTGGAAGCATATATTTATAGTTGATACACTGTTGGTTGTAACTAGTTAGAAATTGGGGTGTTTATGTTATTTTATTTAGTTATTATGAAGTACTTGCATAATGCAAACTGAGTTCCACATTTATATCTCATGTTTCTTTGATAAATATTTAGTATACTAATGTACATGGAAGTTTATGCAATATTCTTTCAGATTCATTTTTATAAATATAGTAGGCTATGCATTTTTATCCTTTTTTTCCTAATAAGAATTAATGGAAAATTTTGGATTTGGCAAATGGGATGTATACATTTGAATTTTCAATTGGAAAAGTTTTTCTTTTGTTTCTTCCTAATATTTTCTAAGGTTATGTTCTAGTTTTTGCAAATAGCAATTCAGTTTCAATTATAGAATTTTTATCTTTTGATTTGTAAATTGTGCAGAGGTTGTTTTGATATGTGTGAGGATGACATTAATAACAGCAGTCCAAGAGAGTCTGATCATGATTATGGGAGAATTGACAATGAATGTTCTGGGCCAAGTACTTCATTATCACAAAATGCTACCACTCAGCAAAAAAAGTTTTCTAGTGGTTCTTTGCTACCTGATAATTTTCTTCTTCCCAAAAAAGTTGTTACTGATGGAGACAGGTAATTGTTTTTTTTTTTTTTTTTTTCAGCAGTTTTTTATAGCTTCACATTATTACTGGAACTTCTCAGATACGTTCTTGGAATGAATTATTTTGTTTAAAGGATTTGAGCAAGCTGAAGCAAATGTCTGACATTTGTAATTTCACATGCTGTGCAATGTTGTTCACATTTTTTTTTATACCTGTCTTTATCACTTTTATTTCTTGGAATTTCCATTAACAAATTGTATGGTTGTATTGGTTGCCTTATAAAATAAAACATGATTTTTTTGAATCTATGAAAGTTTGACATATGTTGAAAGCATGATTTTATAATAATTTGGGGCTGTGAGAATTGAAATAGTTTTTTCTCGTTGTATATATTCCTTGTTTCACTACTGCTGCATATTTGACTTGCAGTATTAATGGGCTATTTTATGTTATTTTTATCTTAAAAGGTATTATCTACAATCTAAATATTCTTCAGAGAGGAATCATAGTGGTCCATTGCAATATCGGCAGAAGAGAGATACCTACAACCTTCCTTCAGGTATGTGTATTTTTCTTGTTAAGGCGATTGGTATTTTGATAATCTTTTTATCATATTTTTTTCTCTTGTATCAACTAGATTTTTACTTGTTTTATCTGAAAAATAAATGCATTGGGAATGGTTTACTATTTTTATAATGCTTTTTCTATGTGCAGTTGATGACACATCTGAAGGAGCATTTGTCCAGCGTAGGGGGCGGTTTAAGGTCACACCCGCAGATATCAGTCAAATGGTATACATCCAATTTTTAAGATCTTTTTATCCCCTATTGGTTGACTTAAATCCTTGAACATGCTCTTTTGGTAGAGGAATGCTAGCAACACTGACAAATTTTTCAGCACATTTTTTCTTCTTGGGTGGAAGTTGTGTGAAATCTACTTTCTATTTTGTGGGACCCACATGGAATTCACCATATAGTAAAGAATTTGCTGAAAGGAGTGTGGGCATTTTCTTCTCTGTATTCTGATTAAATCTTGCTAATCTCATTATATACAGATGATACTAGTTATTAAAAATTGTATGCCTTCCTCTTTGCTACCGGAGGCATTATAAAATTATTGTTGGATTTGTCTGCTTGAATGTTTAACTTCATTAATGTTGAGGATGGAACTTAGGTATTTATGTTTTAGGCAATGGCTTTGTAACCATTGCCATTTCTTTTACTTATACAGGGTCCTTCAAACAGCAATTCTGGCCCTGTTGTTAGTCCTACCAGTCCACCAAATCAGAATTTCAAGGCTGCCTCTATTCTTCCATCACTGCAGTGCATCTTGCAACAGAATGGTTTGCAGAGGGTATATATCTGTGCATTTTTTTTCTATTTTAAATGACAAGTCTAAGGCATAACTTTATTTTCCAATGGGTTTTGACAGGAAGAAATTATTAAGTTAATAAAGTATGCAGAGCAATCTTGTGGTAATACCTCTCTCTCTCTCTTAATGTGTGTGTGTGTGTGTGTGTGGGCATACACACATACATATATGCGTGTGCAGCAATCAAGTTTAGTTAATTTGAGTTTTTTCGCTTGTTAACAGGCAAGAATACAGAATCAGCTGAGGCAGGGGCAATTGATATTTTGCAGGTAAATTCCAGCCATTATGCTTAGCAGCTTTTAAAATCTATAACATTATGTTATGATACAAAATTTTCTCTGATTATGCTTTTTCTTTAACAATGAGATGCATTGATGATTGTAATTTGTAAATATTTGAGATCGTAAGTCCATAACTATGGATGTAGTATTTCATTGCGTAATGATAAGATACAATTATAACGAACATGTAAGCGCATGCTTTGTCTAGTTAGTGTCCTTGAGTTTGGATGCAACTTCTTAAAATAGGAACTCTGTTGTTATGCCCACTTGCCCAGCCATAATTCAGAAATGACACCAAGTCCTTAGTCTCGGTATTGACAAGTTGCTGTTAGGGATAAAAAGCAGTAAAAAATGCATTCATAAGTCAAACTTCCCACTTTTTTTCTGTGTGTTCTAAAGTGATAATTCTTTTGTCAAACTCATGATTGACTATCTGTGTAATATAATTTCAGGATTTATAATTTATAACCTAAACTAAATAAAGAGAAAGAATGATTTTTTTTTTTTTGCTGGGAAGGGGGTGTTGATGGGTGCACAATGTCCTGTTTTCAATACCTTTGTATTCAATGTTTTATTCTCTACCTGTCCAGTAAAATTTTTGCAGTTATGTCACAAAACTAAAGGGATTTAAAATTGATAGGAACTAAATTTACTGTGGAATTGATAGAGAAGAGAACTGAGCTCTGATTACAAGGAAGATATGCAGAAAGTATAGAAACTGGGGAATGAAAGGAAACAAATCAACGAAGGAAAACTTCTCTGCCTTGTAGCAACCGCCACTCCAAAACTATCCTAATGATTCCCTATCCTCCTCACTACTGTCTCATCATCTCATATTTGTGTCCTCACTTGGATTTGACACCTGCCCATATCCAGTTAGAATTTGACATAACATACTCCTGGCTGTATTTCCCACGTCATTTCCCGATTTTAACCCCCCCCCCCTCCCCTCCCCTGTGGTTGTATTACCCCTTTGGTAACATAAAAAAATATTGAAGGAATTACCAAAATGGGTATAAATATAACATAATAGTAGAAAAAATAGATGGGTGAAAATTGTGAAAACCCAACTCATGTTTGCACACTAGCCACCCAAAAGTGACTTTCCTGTTGATGTGGGAGAATGGTAATTTTGGCAACGTCATCTTACATTGTGTAGTGCTGGAAGTCTTAGCACCAAATGTGTTGCCAAATTGCCAACTGCAGTACCTAAATGTAAACGGAGGTTCAGACTCTTCAAACAACAATCCAAATAGGCACTAAAACAGGGAAAAAATGGGCCTTTTTTAATACATGGATGGGAGGAGGGGGTTAAGAAGTATTTTGCTTGATTACACGTACAGGAAATTGCTACTTTGTTGTTTTGTAAAATGGCCTCATTTGTGCAACTTGCAGGCACCGCCTGTGACAACTAGGGAGAGAGAGCTGCAATTTCAGGTGATTCAACTCCAACAGAGGTATATGGATGCAACTGAGTTTCTAATTGTTGATCTATAAATTTAAATTCCACATACATCTTATTTTTAACTCTTATGTCAGCATTGGGAGCCTTGTTGAGGAGTTGCAAAGACAAAAGACGAAAAATGTTCAGGTATGTTTCAATCTTTATATATCATACTCGCCCTTTTTACCATTTTTTGTTTGATCAGTGATGTTTTGTATGGTTTTCATGGTACCGTGCTCTTCTTTCTATCACAGCAAACGTAGATGACTTTTTAAACGTTCTTTTTTGCCTCCTCTCTTTAACATAATATATATATATATATATATATATATTTATTTTTTCAAATATAGATTCATTCAAATTTGTCTACGGACTCTACTCTAATCATTATTCACTCAAAATAAGGCAGGCCCAAGTTTATGAGGAAATTGCTTGGAAGCATGGTTATCAATCTTGGATATTGGGGCAGGGCATGGCATCTTATTAAAATCGTTATAGCTAGATAGCACATGGCAGGATGACCATTATTTAGAAAATTTTAATACTGATAAATAATATATATAATAAATGCTAAAAAAATAACACTATAGATTACTATCCTTGGAAGATAGTGCTTTCTTATAAGCATTGATTGACCCCAAAAGAATAACAGTTAGAATAATCCAATATGACCAAAATGTGTGTCACTGCATTTTTAATTTAGATTAATACCATAAAACTTATTTCTGCCTCATTATGTACTATAGATATTACAAGGTGTATATATGTATTATGTCTAATAAAAGATCTATAATTAAGATGCTAAATATATTTCATAAAATTGCATACAGTGAGCCACATGCACTCACTAAAAAAGCTTATTAGACTACTATGATGTAACATTCTGACATATGGTATGGCATATGCTTTCAAGTGCCTTGAGTTGAAAATAGTGAAGAGACAGATATATTTTGTCCATAAAATGTTCGTTTAGACTGAATTCCTTCTCAAATATCCCCAATCACTGTTCATTAAGTAAAGGGTATTGTTACTACCTATCTATAAACGGGAAAATAGGGTGGGTGTTAGAAAGCAAGTCCTAAGACCGGAATGGGAGGATGTGCTGAAATGGAGGAAAGTTGCCTTTAGTTATCGTATTCATTCCTAGGATCAAGCAGTCCATAAAGGGGCCGGCCCAATTCTCAAGGCTGCCGCCTGGTGTGGTCTAGGGAAGGTAAATGCAGAGGTGATTTTTCGGATTTGAACCTGCAAGGCAACCTTATTCTTGCACCAAGGGCTGTCCTTGAGAATTGAGATCAAGCAATCCTGTAAATTTTTTGGAAAAATAGTTTCTCATTACTATCACTAATTTACTACTAAGGTTGCATGCTATTTAGTAATAAGTTTCTTTGTCAATCTATTTACATGTCATCATTAGTATTACACTAGTCGGAGTAATAGTAGGACTCTTCATTTCATGTCAACTAAGTAAGGATAGGCTTCTTACCCATTTGTCTTTTGGAATTCTGTAAGTCATTCATTTAGGGTATCTCACCTTCTGTTTGGTTTGCAGTTGGAGAAACAGTTGAGCAGTATGGTTAACAAAGTTGAAAAGTAAACAAGATACGAACGTTATCATGGTTCGACTGATATTGAGCTACACCTAACGTTCAGTTATAACATTCGATGATGGTTTGAGACATACTTGAGGGATGGGGGCACGTCTCAGTTGTATTACCATGTGTGAACTTTTGTTTGCGGCAGACACTAATTTTTGAGATGCTATTCCTTGAGTCACCTGTAAAATGTAATTTATTGATGAGATAATGAGATCATGTAATTTAAACCCCTCTTTGTCTCTCATATCCTACCCAAAAATTACCCTTCAGAATTCAGATTAATGCATATATAATAACTACATAGTTCATTGATGTAGCAATCTGTCTTTTGTATTTCAATAAATTCAGATCACCTTACAACTGAATCCTTTCCTTAACACAAGAAGGAAAGTTGGCTTGATTGGCTGGTTTTGACGTGTAAAATTCCAATGGTTTATGGAAATTAGCTATTTTATAGATACTGCTGAGTGCTGACAAGACTCCCCCAGTGAATTGTATTTCTTAATGTAGTCCGCAGTTGAATTGCATGTAAATGTAGAGACGCAGTCGAACTGAATTTTAATTTTTTTTAAATTGTGACTCATTTTCCCTCAACTGTATAGTGATTCTTCTTACTAGCTATGTTAAAGGAAATTGGAACCTGTTAATCATATACCATTTCAACTATGCTTTGCACGGTATACAAAGCAAATAATGAAGGATTATAGGTGGGGGAAAAAATGCAGTAGCTTCAACGCGTGTCCATTTGTTGGATGGTTTTAATATTGAGCTGAGTAATAGGATTTGCCTCGTTTGAAGTAAGGGTGTGTTTTAGAGGTGAAGAGTGTCTATAATTTGAGATTATCACACCAATTATTAATGTGCGGATAATAAATTATGAATTTGTTAAAATTTTCAACTGCTTATTTTAATTAGCGATTATAAGCATATTCAATTTTTAGTAGTATATCCCTTTAGAAATCAAATCCTGAGTAATGATACTTTTATAAAAATGTTAGTAATCTTAACACGCTGTTTTAATACACTATTATTTATTGAAATTCACATGGGAGTAGCTTATACAAGAGATTGTAAGAGATTCTGCTATTCATTAATTTTAGCTACATATGGTTCCTTCTTTTCTATTAGAAATTAACCAACAAAATTTATTTTAGTCTCTAAATATGTAACTTTTAGTCAACTTAGTCTTTAGTTTTATAAAATTTATACTTTTAACTCGTGGTTTTATAAAAGAGTTTTGTTAAGTCCTTTTCCACTTCATATGATGATTTAGTATATGTTGAAAATATGTTAACAAAAATTGTCAACGTAAATCCAACGAATATGTTATGCATCTGAATATGAAACAAAACACACCGTTACTCTAAAATCAACAACAATTTAGAGTCATCCATCACTTGCTTTATTACTGTATTGAATCGTAATAGGGAAACTTCATGATCGCAGCGAGAGAGTGCGATGGTCAAATGTGTATAATAAATGTGTTTGAACGTTGAGAAGTCAGAGTTGGGTGGCCTCAAATGACAGCTTGTTTTGTCTCCTTTTGGTGCGAAGCTTTTGTTTTTATTTTCACTTTTCAGGGCCACGCCCTCTACTCTGCATTTTGCGTAGATTACTCCAATGTGAATTACATTAATCTTTTTTTGACCATTGAAGGAGCTGCATCAACCAAAAATAACGTCACGATTTGAACATTTTTTCTGAGAAAAAACGAAAAAAACAAAACTACACATGCATGAGAGTTTAGATCTCCCCAAAGACCCATAAGCAAATGCTAATCGCCAACCTTTTCCCATGGTAGAATAAGTTAAAGAACAAAAAAAAATATTGATAATTTTAGTCTTAAAAATTGATTTAATTCCTAAAATTATGAAAATCTAAAATCATTAGAAATTATTCATTTAAATCCTTAAAATTATAAACACCCATCAACTTAGATCTTAAATCTATGAAAAAGAATTTTCAGTCTCTAAATTATTCATGTCATGGGTTAAATATCAATGCGATGTCTATATAGTTACACATATCATGAAATAATGTAATATTATGTCAATTTAAGATAATATTGTAATTTTTCCTGAGTTTTATGTCAAAATGTTAAAATTAAGTTTATGTGTAATTCTTCTTCTTTTTTTAATCAAATTTAAGCTAAAGTGATTATCATTTATTATTTCAAAAGTTAAAAATTATTTTTATTTCTAAGAACTAAATTGATGGGTGCTAATAATTTTAGGAATTATAATATATTTTTAATAATTTTAGGGACTATCTTTTTAATAATTTTGAGGACTATTTGCTTATAATTTCAAACAAGTATATTAAAAAGTATTTATAATTTTAGAGAGTAAAATAATGTATCAGTTGAAAAAGAAAACGCTAAAGAACAGATATATTTACAGAATTGGTCAACGAGCTTAAGTCCGGGTGCAATCATAACTATAAAATATTTAAAAAAATTACTAGTATAATAATCTTATTTAACTTGAGTGCAAGATAACTGGTTAAAAAAAAAAAAAGATAATATATTAAAAGAGATAATAAATTTGAATATTTTACATCTTTATTCATTTCATTCCCACGTGGTTGCTTGGAAGGATTTGGTTTAATTCTTTTCAGCACAATTATAGAAATATTCTTTAAAAAAATTAGTCTCTTTGAATGAAAAAATTATATATTAAAAACTTTATTAAAAAAAATTCAGCGTTTATATATATTTGATTTTCCAGGTGAATGTGATAAACAAAACTCAATTTCCAAGAAAGTTCAATGGCTAAAATCATTTGATGCATGAATCACGAGACAATTTCAATTGGATGCTGTAATAGAAATGAGAAAAATGAGATTCTATCCTTTTTTCTCTTGTTTCATTACAAGACAGAAATAGATTAGTCCATCTAATTTATGGTTTAATCTTTTTAAAGTTAGTCGATTTAATCTATTTAATTAATAGATTTAATTTAAGTTTTTTTAAAAGTTTAATTAATTAAATATATTAAATTTAAATTTAAAAAAAATATTAAACCTATTAAAATAACTTATTTAAAATTTATAATAGTATATTAAATAATTTTATAAAAAATTATAATATAATAATATGTTAAATCAATTAAATTTTAAAATACTAAAAATATTGTAATCCTTTTTGTTAAAATTAAAGAATATCTCTATTACATACTTTCCAAAAGAGAGCCTTACCTAGTAAAATTTTTAGTATATTTTAGATTTTTGTGTGTTGTATTTGTGAATTTTAGAATTAAAACTTATTTATTTTATTATATTTATTAATTTAATATGTACGATTTTATGTTACTATATTTTTTTAATAATTTATAAATTAATGTTTATTTTATTGTATTCTTTGTATATATAGTAATTTATTTATTTAAATTAAATATGTGATTTGAAAATAATAAATATAAATATGTAATTTTAGTATGCATATTTAAGGTGTTGAATTATTTTTTTAATAGTTTATTTAGATATAAGTCTTGTAACTTTTAAAATACATAATATTTAAATAGTTTAATAATATATTTATAAAAAAGTTTAATGATCTAATATAAAAAAGCTAATAATCCAACTCAAACTTTTAAAAAAATCAGATAAAACTTAATAAAAAGCTTATAATAGATAATAGATCAAAACTTAAACTTTAAAATTATTAGTCTATTTTTATTCTTATAGCTATTTACCTTCTTAAATTTATAGAGAATTTTATATAAAAAATTATTAACTATTAAAATAATCTTTACTAATATAATTTTATCTTAAAAATAAATTAATAATATAAATTTTAAATATTTATACTAATAATAATTCGTGACACTAATATTTAATGTATATATTGAGAGCATATTTTAACAATTTATTAATAAAATTATATTTTGATACAATATATTGTATTATAAGTATAATTTTACAATATTTATGCTTTAATTTAATTTATATAAAAAAAACACTAACAATGATTAATTTAATATTAATTTGTTGATAAATGGTATACATTTTTTTGGAACAAAGAAAAATGTAAAAACATATATGTTCATATGCAATGATTTTATGATAACGTGCCATTGGAGCGAAACAGTAGCACCAATGCATTAAATAATCTTTCTTCTCTCTATATATATGAAATTTTTAATAATTTTTTTATAAGTATTAGTAATTTAGTATATTATATGTAAATAAGTATTAAAATAATATTTTATTATCTAACAGCTAAACTAATAAAATTTGCTTTTCTTAAAAAATATTAAAAATTATAAAATTTAACACCTAATACAATTAATTGTGTGCATAAAAGACAGAAATATAAAATTGAATAATACAGCAAAGAAAACCTGAGATGTAACACAATGAAAATAATAAGTTATCAAAAGCCAAAAAGTATAACAAATAATAATAATAATTTTGGCACTTTATAGTAAAATAGTGACCTACAAGAAGACAAGAAATAAAAAAGTCCCATCTTCAGTGTTATCCAATGTTTGCATTAGCTAATAATATATAATATCATAGAAAGATATTAATTTTTTTCAGGCATTATTCTTAGTCTACTATAGAATTTTCCTTATAGATATCATCATCATAACAATTTTTCTACCTTTGAATTCGTTGAATTTATTTCCAGTTATCAAATCATATATTATACAATTATTATTTTTTAACATTACATAACATTTTTTTGTCATTATCTCATAAATCAACTGTTTCTAGCCCTAATGAATACAATTCTTTGATTAAATAATTAACAACTTTGAATATATAATATACAATTTGTATGATAAAATTTATTGAAAATAATGAAAAAATGTAAATAATATTGAATATTATATATCTTTTATTAAAAATTTATTAATTTTAATATTTTTAAATATCTCAACAGTCACATAAAAAATTTGAATAATGAATTAACATGGTTTTGGTGCTAAAGCATTATAATTAGTGTGTGAGAATTGATATGGAGAAAGCTTCCCCAAAACCCATGGTTTCCAAAAGTCGTTTCCAGGAATTGATGGTTTATTAGATATGTTATATTATTCATATATCGTTTTTTTAATTTAGAATATAAAATAATTATACTTGAATCGAGTAAAATTATTATAAATAATTTTTTAATAAAATATTTAACATATTGTAAGTTGAATTTGTAAAATAATTTTTATCAATTAATTTTCATATTCAATGATATATTATTTATTATTAAAGTATTACAAAAATTAATTGTAGAAATACAATATTTCTAACCAATTAAAAGTGGATAGAAGTGACAGTAGAAAATAGATGCTTTCACATTTTCCACGCGTCGCTTTCAAAGGGTTGAGTCTTCCACCATTTTTAATCACAGTAAAAATGGATGAACCAATCATGTAAAGTGGTCGTTAATGATAATTTAATAAATGCAAAATAAAAGTTGCTAATTGCATGCTCAAATAAAACATGCTTTGCCACCAAACCATCACATACTCGTTCAACCATTATTATATTTATAATATTGATAGTTGAATTTGAATTTAGTCAATGACACATGGTCATATATTTATATATTTATTATTTTTATGTTAATTTTTTTTACCAAATTTAATAATTTATATTTAAATATTTTATTAAGATATAATTTGTATTTTTTTATAAATTACTGTTTTTAATCATTCTAATTTATTTCAGTCCAATTAACATAGAGACTATCTTCTAATAAGAATATATTGAAACGTGTTTCAACTTTATTGCTTTGTTAAAAAATATTAAGATATTCTAATAATTAAAATATAAATAATAAATCTAAATATGTATATAGGTGCCAAATTATTATTTAAATTGATATATAAGCTTGTTACATTCATACTAATTTTTTTAAAATATAACGTTAAATTAATAGATTGATTCTAATTTTTAATTTAATTAAGGTTTAGTTATCTTTTTTTTTTAATTTCTCAAAGCGCTTTAAATGTTTTTTTTTCAAAAAAATTATATTTATTAAAATTTATTGTTTATTTTTTAACTCTAATAAAAATATAATATATTTTGACTAAATTTTTTGTTTTTTCTAATTTGCTCTTATCCTTCATTTACTTTTCTGTGACTTGTTTTTTCAATTGAACTATAACTTATTATATACTTTGATGAATTTTATGAATAAACCTCAAAGTTATGGAAGAAGATGAAAATTGAGCATGATGTACATATATCATACACTTTTTTTTTTTTTTTATCTTGCCCATTTTATATAAAATGTTATAATTGACATTTCTTAAAAAACAATTACTCCAAACTAGTGCTTTGATGATGAACGTTAAAAATATATTTTCTAACACACTTTTAGTCATTAAATAAAATTTATTAAAAATTTAAAAGAGTATGTGAGTTTTTCTTTTTTCATTTCTAATTTCACAATCCTAATTTAATGATTATCTTTTATCTTTTTATAATTTTAATTAATAATTAAAAATAATGATTTAGCAATACTTTGTCTGTTTTTAAAAATAGTGTTTTAGCTTTTTCTATGTTCTCTTTTTATTCATTTAATTCATAAACAAGTTTCAAAATAAATATAATAGAAATTTTCATAACACTTTTATTAAATATAAGACAGTTAAATGTACTTTTAGGTTCTTATACTTACACTTTAAAATAACATATTGCTAATATACAAGAGATGCAATTGCTATGCTAACCAAAACAGGAATAAGGGATCAATTAAAGGTTTTGTTTGATCACACTCACAACTCACATAAATTTAATGTGCAATATTTTAAAAATATATATTAGATTAAATAGTTAAATTATTAATTTAAATATTACTAAATGAACATATTCATTATACAAAGAATATACATCTATTTTGTTAACATAAATTTTATACTAAATAAAAATTATTAAATATAAAAAATTGTTTAATTTTAATAAAAAAATATTAATAACTATTTTTAATAATAAAAACTTATTTAATCTACGTAACTGGAGTCTTCCAAATGTGTCAGAAAGAGCAGCAACGCCCATTCGTTAAGCCGGTAGCTCTGTACTCTCCACGTGATTCCCATCTCGCTCTCACCTAACAGCATCACAAAGAAAGAGACATATATCATTTTTTTTTTATTTTATTTAAGTAGAATAATTATAAATCATAGTTTTTTTTTAAAAAAATATTTAATATAGTTTCATATTTAAGATTTGAATTCAATCTTTTTAATTATTTAATACTTTTTTTTTACTTTTAAGATACTTAATTAATATATATATATTTATTATTTAATTTTTAAATTAATAAAAAAATTGTAGAAAGATATAAAGTGATAACATATAAGCAAGAAGTTGACCCAAGGCGGGTGTGATGTCGATGTTAATGTAAATGTTGCGAGTTAAATGCTTTTATGGTCTATTTATGTATTTTCAATTTCAAACGTTTATATAAAGAGTTAATTAAATACAGTTCAAAACTCAAAATGCATTAAAAACAATAGTTAAAAATATATCAATTAATTATATTTTGTAAATACTTGTTTTAATAAGTACTCTTTAATTTTAATATAATAAAGAATAATTAAGTTTCTTTTCCCTTTGCTAATCTATATGGTGAGCAAGAAAATAAGTATAGTTAATATTTCATTCTCTAAATTTTTAAAATACAAGTAATCGTAATTTTTTTCACGCTAAAACCAATTGTACTTTATTAATTATATAAAATTCACTTTTGAAATATCATACTTAAATATAGGTTTTTAAATTAACTTGACTTGAAACTAATTTTATTAATATAATAAACAAATCTAATAAATAAAAAATAATATTCTACATATCATAGATGAACTAATTTTATCAACTCACTTGCTTTCTTGGGTTGGTGTTGGCTGTAATAAAAGAGAAGGAATATGCTTATTAATTATTTGGGTAAGTACAGTGTAGTTTTTGTGGTTGCATAGAAATAGAATTATATTTTTCAATGGTATTTTGGATGAGAGGGAAGTCCTAGATTCTATTATTCTGAGATCCTGAAAATGGTTATCACTTGTTAGTAAGGGAGAAGCTATTATATTAGCTGATTGGTATTTGAACCCACGAAATTGCATTTGTCTTAATTTTGTATAAGTATATTTTTACTTTTTATTTCTCTGAGTAAATAATTTTTTATGTATATGGGTTTTGAGTTCCCCTTGAACTCTTTTTAATAAGATTTGTTTTGCCTATAAAAAAAAGATAAACGTATAAATACAGTAATATTATATAATAAGAGAAGAGATTTGAAGCAGAAACTGAGTGGGGAATCTTTGTATGAGTCCACGAAAGTAGAAAACAGGCTGAACAAACAAAACGGAAAAAAGTGATCACATTCAACTCTTACAAAAGTTATTTTTCTTACAAACATATAATGTGTGTTTAGCAGTGTACAATATTCATGAATAAATCTAACTTTCTATTATACTTACACCATACATGAAAAATCTAATAAACTATGGATTATAAAAAAGCCATTCAATGCTAATATGTTCAATTATAAATCAAATGTTCAACACAAACGGTTTTATCATTTAATTTAGTACTTTATGTATATAATGATTAAAAAGATGTCTGGTAGATGCAGTAATTAGATCTATTGCTCAATTTGTGCTGCCATCTCATTAATGGTAGGAAAACAATTGGGAGCCTCTAAGAAGTGGAAAGGAGGGTGCATATTGGGACCAAAATGAAGCCTGTTTATAAATAAAAACAGTTATTTAACATCCATAAAAAAGTGTGAAATGGGTATTAATAAAAAAAGAAAAAAAGAGAAGGAGATAATTAAAAATATATGCAAAAAATAATGTAAAAACATTATATAGTTAATTTATAAATATATGATAAGAATAATAAACCCGCCAAGCTGGACTTTGACGGTAAAGTATCAGAAATGGCACTCACTTGACCCTTTGGACTGAATCATCTATAAATTGCTAACTCCATTTCTTCAACACCAACCATAAACCCTTCTTCTTCATCTTATTTTTCATATCATATATTATACACTTTATATTATATATCACCATACACACTTGTTTTTGCTCTTAATAATAACATAATGGGTGTTATGCGCACATGGGAGAGCAAGAGGGCGGAGCTGGAGGCCTTTCGCCGGAACCTGGTGGCTGCCGCCGCTGTTCACCGGCGGAAAGGCGACGAAGGTCGAAGAAAAAACACCCCTGTTAGTTCTTATGATGATGATGATGATGATGATGTGAACATTATGGTGTGTGTGACAAGTGGTGTTTCCTATTTTGGGCTTGCTTTGGTCAACCATCTTTTGCTATTAGGTTTCTCTGTTCGAATCATCGTTGACAATCCAGGTAAATCCATTCTCCTATCTAACAAATCACTTCTTCCCACTTTGATTCATAACTTAATAAATAATATTTTATTATTATAAATTATAGAGTTTAATATTATTGATGTAAAAAATTTGCTTTCCATATGTATTACAACACTTCATGTGGAAATAGACAAGTTACTTTCTTGAATCTAAATTTTTAAACACACATTTATCTTGCTTAGGTGAATTGATAATATGTTAATTCTTCCTTCTCCCATTTTTTAAAACTGTGTATTGTTAGTGGGGTGTTTAGCAAAGTATGATCTTTTTGTTGGATAAGTTCAAGGTGTGATGAAGGAGCTCTAAATAATAATATACAATTTGCTAACAACTTTGATTTTCTTGTTAAAATTAAGGTTGAAAACATAAAATTTTATCTGGGTAGGTATGATAGAAACAGGGGAGGGAAGAAAAATTCATAAAACATGAGCTATAAAATCTCAACATTCCAGAGAAAGCGGTTCTCAGTATATTGTTCAAGGATTAGTTAAAGATTATGAGGAAAAATGTGGGAAAATATTATTTTCTAAGTTGCCTTAATGTAACCTATGAAATCTGTTAGATGAAAAAGCTTGGTTTATAAAACGTCAACGGAATAATCTGCGTCAGCGATGTGAGAGTACTGTGTATTGGTTAAACTAGCTGTATGCTTTCTTTAAAATATATTTTTTAGTATTAGTTAATTTTATGTGATTTTTATTAGATAAAAAAATCTATATTTATTTATAAAATTACATAATAGAAAAATGTAATTATCATTTTTTTTGAAACTGTGCAAGTTTCGGTGCATTTTGTTTGTTTCCTAACCCGACAAACTCTCTGCGATTGAAAATTATGAACACTTGGCAATTTGATGTCCATGTTTACTGAGCAAAATATCCATCAAATTAAATAGTAATTAATTTGGTGGGTCATTACTAAAGAATTAGTATGCTAGTGTACGATTTTGAATAAGGAATCGGTCATATATGACAAAGAGCCGGCTTATATAATATTGAACTTCTTGTAGTTTATATGATCTTGGTTTATTTTAATGTCCACAATCAAGAACATAAAAAGAATGATTAATGTAAATAAGTTATAGATTTATATAAAACATTATCATGGGTAAACCAACACCAAGAGTACCTTAAACGGAACAAACGAATACGATGAATGAATTAATATAAAAAAATGTTTGATTATGATGAGGTCGTAATTATGGAATAGTGGGTGGGTTATTATCATTAATGGTGAAAGAGATGGTGCAGAGGACATGGAGAAGGTGAAGGGTATAAGAAAAGGAAAAATGGAAGTAATAATGGCAAAGCTAACCGATGTTGATGGATTGGAGAAAGCATTTGAGGGATGTCGTGGCGTCTTTCATACCTCTGCATTTACCGATCCTGCTGGTCTCTCTGGATACACAGTATGTATATACATCTTATGTTATCACTCAAGTTCATTCATTTTTCAATAAATATTTCTTCGAGTATAGTATTAAACAGTAAATTGTTTATCACATTAACAATTTTATTCAATTCACTTATCTCATTCACTAAATCGATCCTATATCTTGTGAGTACCCTTAATTAATGACACTTCATGTATCTTTGAGTGGCTAGCAATATTGATATCGTGTTGCACGACAAGCCATAGCTCTACAGAGGTGGCAAAATCATCATTAACTGTAGCTACATGATTACTTGTTTGATTAGCCCCCAATTCATTAAGTATTTGTACGAGTTATGGTTATTTGATTTATGGTGAATTGATGGTTCCACTGCAAACTGACAAGTAACTAATATATAATTAAGCGGCTTAATTACTTGCTGGTGAAGTTCACTTTTGGAACAGAACTTGTCATTCTTATAATAGTATGCTGAAAACGATACTACAATTATTATTCGTTCCTTGCCCTACAACCTTGACTAACAGATACCATATGGTAAAAAAAAGTATATTAAGCACAATGTGATTAAAGCTACACGTGATTTAACTATTGAATCATGCCATGATTTATACAAAGGGTATAGTTAATATCTGCATGATTTATTATGAGTGAAAACAGATTAAACCTACGATTGGTAGTATTAAATAAATGCAAATTTATGATCGTTTAAATATAAATTAAACATGCTCTTAATTGTTGTGATAATGGCATCATAAATATTTAAAAGAGAAAGTTTCTGTATAATGTCTAAGCAAAATTTTCTGTGTGATATCTAGAAATCCATGGCAGAGATTGAAGTGAAGGTGGCTGAGAATGTTATGGAAGCATGTGGAAGAACATCTTCAATAAAAAGATGTGTGTTCACATCATCACTGTCAGCTTGTGTGTGGCAAGACAATGCACACCCAGACCTTACCCCTGTTATCAATCATGCCTCATGGAGCACTGAATCACTCTGCATAGACAAGAAGGTAAATTTCCACAACATTGCACTTGATTTATTTAAGAAAAAGGAAATGTAAATTAATAATCTGCGGTTAGAATTATGCAAGTTTAGTCAAGCTTTAGGTGTATTTTTTAATCTTAACATTTAATTTGCTCCTAACTGGAAGGGTTATTCTAATATTTAAATATATGGCAGCTCTGGTATGCATTGGGCAAGATGAGGGCAGAGAAAGTTGCTTGGAGAATAGCTAATGAAAGGGGTTTGAAGCTAACTACAATTTGTCCAGCTCTAATTACAGGTCCTGAATTTTGTCATAGGAATTCAACAGCTACTATTGCTTATCTCAAAGGTAATACCAATTACCAAAATCATTGGTCCAATTTCTTGTACCATTTGATTTTAATATGATAAAATATAATCTAAAAATTTTACAAATGCAAATTCAGGAGCCCAAGAAATGTATTCTCATGGTTTGCTAGCAACGGTGGAAGTAACAACATTGGCTGAAGCTCATGCACGCGTATTCAAGGCAATGAATAGCAATGCTTCCGGTAGATACATTTGCTTTGATCATGTAATTGATACCTATAATGAAGCAGAGAAGCTTGCCAAGGATATCGGGATGCCTAAGGACAAGATATGTGGGGATGCATCAAACAATTCTATACATAGGTTTCAATTATCTAACGAGAAATTATGCACACTCATGTCAAGATCACTTAGGTGTTACAGTGAATATTAGATGAAATTTCATGTCATAGTTATGTTAAAATATTGGTTTATTTATGGCGTGCCTTAGCTCAGGAGACTAGAAAAGAAAGTAGATGAGGCACATTTTTCCTTTTGTTCAGTAATGTTTGTATTTATTTATGATTTAATTATAATATATAGTTTTATTTAATTCTATGTCAAACTACGCAAATTATCTAATTAATTACTTAGCATGTTGACCGTTGCAACAAGTTACTAAAATCAGCTCATTTTGTCAGCATTGAGGTAAATTTGAAGAAAATGTCAACCTTAAAACACTGCATGTTAGCTGTCAAAGATTACAATAATTAAATTGCTATGTTCAACTGAAAAATCTGCACAACTTTCAGAAAGGTTAGTAAATACTTTGTTTTCTAAACAAGGTGACGTTGGTAGGTACTATATTGAATATGGAAAGAAGTAATGCCGTAGGAAGATCAAAATTAGGTGAACAAAATGAACTCGCCTTTCAAAGGGGGGGAGGTATGTCCTACTTCATATCTAAGTTAATTTCAACACACTTGGAAAAATCTCACTCAAACAAATTCAACATGTCCACCACTAATGGTGATGACTCCACCAGTTTCTATTCAAATCCTTTGGTTTCATCAATTTCTTAGGCCAAGGGAATGGTTTTGATTATTGGAAATTGGATTATAAATAAGTCAGGCTAATAGATTAGGGGTGTATTTACATAAATATTTTATTATGAATGGCAATTTAAGAACTTGTTTTACAAGTTTTCATCATATTGACTTATGATACATGTTTGATTGTAAAAATTATTAAAACAAGTTTTAAAAATTTTATTTTAATAAAAGAAACTAAAAAACTAATTAAAATAATTTAATAAACTTATATATCAAGTCATAAACTATTTTCAGAGGCTTTTTCAAATACATCTTCAAGACTTAAAAGATATTCATCTAAAAAAAGAATCACAATAGAGGGAGTAATTCAATATAACTCAGTCCCTTAGATGTTCATTAATGATTGCGATCATTCCCGCAAATCATTACAGGTCTGTAGGCTCATCACAGAGATACTCCCAAACAATAATTGAAATGAAAAACCAAACCCCCCAAAAATTAGAGTGCAGATTTCATCTTTTACTTATTTATCCAAAGTTTTAATGCAGACTCATCACTACGTAGAATCAGCACGAAGCATATAGAAGGTGAACAAGCACCATAAATTGAAGGCCTCAGAGATCTTGGCGGATAAAAATCATCAAATGGGATCTCACCATCAAGAGTAGCAAATAATTTTCATGCGTCACAGGCCCACCGTCAAATGTAGAAAAATAATAATAACAAGAGAAAAATTACTTAAAAGAAAACATGGATTTGAATATGATGTTGTCAGAAGTAGCTGGTGTGATCTCATGTAAAAAATCAATGGGAATCCGTCTGATTTTTATCATCACTCAACATCATATCAAAACCAAAATCCACAGAAAAATCTAAAACGCATAACCACACTATATAAATAAATAAAAAAGGGGACTTGGAATTGTGGAAGAGTGTTATATGCGCTAAAAGAACAGTGTTGTTTGCAAAGACACATCTTGTCACACAAAACAGGAGCTGTCAGAATATAGAAGCCCTCTTGGTATTGGCCATTGTTCAGATCAATATTTTCACATATCTCACTTTTGTGTTTCTAAGAATCTGAGGAGTTTAAGAGCAGAGTGGCTTTCGGCTACTCAAAGAACTGCTGGGATTAGGGTTCGGCAGAAAGTGAAGAATTTATAATGAATATTGGGCTTTGTTTCTTTCCTTATGTGTATGACATGTTGTATGGGCTTTTGCTCTTCTCAACATCGTCAGGCCCATTTTGCTAATGTTTAGATAGAAATTTGCTACGTTGACAAAAACAAAAAGATAGAAAATTGTTATTGTTGGCAAAAAATAAAGTTTTTATTTAATTTGTATTGTAATTTTGAATACTTAATTTTTTTAAAAAAGAAAAATTAATCATATTAAGATTTTTTTTTGTTAATTAGACTAATTTTAAATTTTTCAGTGACTTGTGCTCTTTTGTATATTTTTATTACTAGTAAAATGCTTTTTTAAAATTTTGTAAATTTTAATAAATACTAATGCAATGCACGGAATATTTCATAAAGACGTTGCATAAAATGAGCATTATTTATTCAGTAAGTATACGTACTTAATGAGAGAAAAATAACATAAAAAGAAAAACTAAAAAAAAAAACTAAAAGAGATAAAAATAACATACGAGTGTTACCAACATATTTTTGGTTATCGATTAAAATATATTAAAAAAAATCTAAAATAGTTTTTTTTATTTTAATAAATTTTAATTAATAATTAAAAGTGTATTAGAGGATAAGTTGCTATGTTATTGACCATATGCATAAATATCATTAATTTCCTAAAAGGATTGTAATACTATAAAGGGATTGCTTTAAGCAAGAAAAGGCTTTGCACCCTCAACTTTGAAACTGCCCAAAATCTCTCTTTTGAATATAAAAATAAAAGCAAATCCCTAACCCTAATCGTTTGCAGTTTCCTTTGCTTCATTATTGTCTAAAATGAAATAAAAACTGTTTGGTGTGTTTGCCAAACATAGGAAAGTGCATGAGAATATGGTATTAGTGCATCACAGATACCTTACTTTGAGTCCCTTTTGCAAAACCTTTTAAAGAAGTGAAGTGAAGTGAAACAAAATTAAGGCAAAGTGGGTGCACGTGCACTCTGCCTCTCACGTGCCTGAATTTTGCTCAGGTCAGGTGTAAGAAAATCAAACATATGATATGATCAGACTCAGTGGAAAAAGTGCTATGAAAAACAGCAACACTTCCCCATATTCCCTCATTGGGACTCTTCATCACACTTCTCTCTCTCTCTCTCTCTCTCTCTCTCTAGACAGTTTTTCTACACAAAGTTTATAAATATTGTTCTCCTTTGAGTTTTGATGATTATAATTAAATGGGTTGGTCTTTAATTAAATAAAGTATTACAAACTACGATAAAATAAATTATAAAGCAAGCAGAGAGGCAGAGAGAGAGAGAAGGAGATTCCTCTCTAGATACATAAACTTGGGGTGTTTCTATCAAATGGGTGTTTCTTATATTTCAAATCAAGTTTGTGTTTGCATTGCCACTAATAGATTGATCTTATCACAACCAATTCTGGAGTTTAACTTGGAATTCCTTCAAGAGGCTACATTCATTCTGATTCTCAAGTGCCACCTTTGCATTGAGGTAACCAACTTAAGCTTTTCTTTTTGTTAATTTATGTTGCAATTTTGAGTTTAATTTCACTGGCCTTGAGCTTCATATTATGAACATAAATGCATGCAACCATTGTTTATGATATTTTCAGTCGAAATATGTCTGAAATTTGAAAGTGGATTTTCCATCATGGGTATATATGGCTTTCCATCAACCCCTATTTGCATGTTGGATCACCATTCCTCCCTCTGCTGCATTAGATGTGTGTTACTGTTCTCTACATGCACCAATCTTAACAATGATTAAGATGCCAAAGGGGTTTCTGTTTCTGATTGATTTAGGTTTGGAGGAGGAGTCTGTTGGCAAAATGTCTTTTAGTAAATTACAATAGTAGCATTATCTGTTGTGTAGTGTGTGAGTATATATATATATAGATATATATATATATATATATATATATATGTATGTATATATATATTATAAAGTTTAAAATGCCATACAAAAATTAATTATTTGTCATTTTATTTAAATATCTCCAGAAAACATACTACTTATACATTCTTTTTCCGTCAACTCTACACATATAAACTGGTAAATTTGATTATTTGGTTTTGGTGACTAAACTTCTTGTGTCAACACACCCATTGTTGAAATTTCCACAAAGGACTTCAAAGAGAATATGCTTTTAAAATGATCAGAAATATAAGATATATGAAATATGGAAATCCTACTAAGTATAAGGAAAGTGTCGGCATAAGTAGCTAGCGATGATCTTTATTCTTAAAAATTTAGAACAGTTAAAATAATAAAAGAATTTGAAGAATTAATGTCACCTTAAACCGTATTCATATGAATTAAAAAATAGCTTATCTTTAAGATCATTTGAGTAAGTGTAAACAGGACGTCTTTTTCTCTCCATAGTAAAGCTACTCAGACATCCCCCAGTAAAAATAAAAGTTCAAGTTAAGAATTATTTATTTCATAAACTGGAGAGTTAACATATTTTGTAAAAGAATGTATCATGTTGTGCTACTGATATATTATTCTTTCTTAAAAAATCATTAGCAAGCATATAATCACCCCCACCTTTGGCCAGATATGTTTAATTACCTAAATCTGGAGTATACTGTAGTATCACTAACTTATAGTCAATACATAATTAAGATCATTAGAATTAACCATAGCTAGATAGCAGCACTAGTAGATCTGTTTTCTCTTTCTCCCTGGCTTTCTTTTTTAAAATTTTAATTTTATTGGCAGATCTCTTGGAGAGTGAACCCAGTACATTAAATTTTAACATGTTTGATATTAGATAAATATTGTCAAAATATTTTTTTTTATAAATTTTTAAAGGGAGTCAGATATAACATTTTCTTTATAATATCAAAATTTGTCTAATTCAAATATTGGGTTTAAGACACTCGCTAATGTCTGAAGTGGGAAAATGATGTATTAAGACATAATCAAAATAATTTTTATCAGACTTGAACAATCTTCTTTGAGCAAGATAATTTTAAAAAATAAGTTAAGCTTAATTTTAAATAAAAACTCCATACATTTTATTGAATTCGAATGGCCGGTATTTGTTTAGTTTTTATAAATTCAAAGAGAAGTTTTGAACAATATTTTGATTATAATTATTTTTATGCAAAAAGAAAAAGTTTGCAAGGATAATGTGAAAGAAACATCATTGGAGAAAAACTCAATCATTATTTTCAAGTACATTAAGGTTATTAGTAGCCTTGCAAGAACACAATTTCTTATATATTTATGATATTGAATTACTAAAATAACATAAACTTATAATCTCATGTAGTCAAAGTGGATCCTATTGGAAGAAGATATATATGATTCACTACTAGAATATTTTATTTACACATGCACAAGTTGATCGAGGGTAGATCCTCACTCAAACCAAGTTAATTACTAACAATTGTTTTATAAGAGGTGCTCATTTGATTGCTTAATTTAATATTTTATTTGAGTATGCTAAAAGAAAACATTTTTATTATGTTTAAATACACATATTTTTACATTTCCTTTTAATAAATTCATGTATTAGATCAATAGTACTCTTTTTTGTTTTAAAGGAATTCACGTGAATGAGCATCTCTGTGCCACCTACAGCGTCTTTGTCTTGTGAGAAAAAATAGTCTTAAATTATCCAATTTTTTTCTTCATTAACTGCATTTTCTTTATTCTTTCCTAACATAATCCTCCTTTTTTTCTTTTTTCTTTTCTCTTTACATGCTTTCTTTTCAAATGCAAAATTTGTACCACAACATACCATGTTTGCAGGGCTTGCTTTGTACCCTTCCAATTCCAATCACAATGTATAAATAGTGAGTGATGTTTCAAGAAGTAGGCAATTGATGTGATTTTACCTTTTCTCTGCCATTTCCATTCACATTAAATTTCAATTTCACATGAATAATTACTTTAATGATGAATGTTAGAAATGTATTTTTAACACAGTTTTAGTTATTAAATAAAATTTATTAAAAAATAAAAAATTATGTGAGTCTTTTTTTTTTCATTTCTAATTTAACAATCTTAATTTAATGATTATCTTTTATATTTTTATAATTTTCAACAAATTTTAATTAATAATTAAAAATATATTAAAAAGAATGACTTATCAATACTTTATCTGTTTTTAAAAATATTTTTTTATCTTTTTCTTTGAAATAACAGTCATTTTACAATTTTAAAGTATAATTACTATTTTAAATTAAATTACTCTTAAGATAATTTTTATCTTAAAATTATTTTCTATCTTTTCTTTTTATTCATTTAATGCATAAACAAGTTTCAAAATAAATATAATAGAAATTTTCATAACACTTTTATTAAATATAAGACGGTTAAATGTATTTTTTAGTTCTTATACTTACACTTTAAAATGACATATTACTAATATTTTTCTTTAATTCTCTCTCTCTCTCAATATATATATATACACACACACATGGATCATCATAGAGAGTAAGGTAATATATAACAGGAGTGTGCACAGTGCATATATAGACAAGAGATGCAATTGCTATGCTAACCAAAACAGGAATAAGGGATCAATTAAACATTTTGTTTGATCACACTCACAACTCACATATCAATTCCAATGTCTGCCTTTTTTCATTTAAGGTAAAAACATGTTACACTCTGTACTGGCTCACCCCACATTGCTTTTACTAACTTAACCTTCTCTCCTACTTACACTTGTTCATTTCATACTGATCATTACTCTTGCTATAACAAGTGCAGTTCTGTAATTTTGTCCTTATAGTTTTCACACTCCAGCCTCTAGAGGTAGATGGTAAGCAGTGTGACATCACTGTCAAAGCAAGAGCAACATATTCAATAATTAAGATATTCTAAATTAGGTGGAAATACCATCAACATTTTTTTATAATATTTGAAAATTTATCTTCTGTTAAGTTGGTTTTTAAAAATGAGTTAGGTTAATTTACCTCCGTGATGTATGATTTAGTTATAAAAAATAATAAGATGATAAAAATATAATATTATAAAAATAAATATTGAATTAAAAATAATTAATTTAATTAAATGCATAAAATAAAACTATGATGACTAAAAAATGTTTATATTAGTATTTTAACATCAAATATAATTTAAAGCAATTTTAAGTCTACATTAATAATTATTTAAAATTGTTTAGTTTTAACTATTTTTATGAAAAATAATAATTTAAAATAAATTTAATTTTAATACTATTTAAATTGACAATAACCTATAATAATTTATTTCAAATAAATAATTAAACGTGTAACTGAAGTGAAAAATCACAAACACATACCAATGTATATACATAAAAAAAGAATATAGTTAATAAATATATTAAAATTAATTAATATAATATTTAATAATTGTTTTGATTACTTATATATCAATTTAATAATAAAGTTAATTATTAATGCATAATTCATTCATAATAACATGTTATACTAACGTGCGGCTTATAATGTCTTTAAATGACTCATGTCAAAAACTTTAAAATTATTCTCTTTATCAATTGATTAAGTATAATATATGTTTTGTTTTAATTTAATTTTTAAAATAATCATTTTTTATATTTTCAAACTTTTTTAAAAAAATATTTGAATATGTATTATCTTAAAAAAATATTTAATAATATTCAAAATGTACTTTTATTAATTCTATCCCGTGGAGTAATGATATGATAACAAAGTTAAGTAAAAGGTAGCAAGTAAGAATAAAATGTTAACTATTTTATTTGGAATCTTTGATGATAAAAATGGTGGGATCCTGATACTATTTGTTGAATGACATAATATATTGAGTTTTGCTGATTAGTATTCTAAGAATACTGGTTAAAAATTTAATGAATAACAAATTTGATTAGAAGTTAATATTTTAAAATAGATTTGTTTAATATATACAACATTGCATGAGATAAAAAGTTGTATATAATAAGTTTTTATTAAAAATTACAGAATTTAATCTAATTCAATGCATTAATAATATTAAATGCTATGTTATTTTATGAAAAATTACTATATATTGTTTTTTATCCTGTACAAATTTGAATAATCAAAATATATTAAAAAAATCATAGAATTGAGTATATTTTTATATTTTTGAATAAGATATTTTTATATTTCTTTCCTTAATAGTTGTTTGTTTTTTTTTTGTGTTGACTTTTCTGATAGATAATTCCAAACTTTAATTAAGGGTAGTGAATGGGAATTAAATGTGAATAGCAATGCCAATAACTCACGTCCAAAAATGGTCAACAGATTCCAAAAGCCAAGTCATAAACAGTGCCCCATTCAAAGGGACAGTGCCACACACCCTAACAAAAACACAAGTACCAAGTCGCTGTATCCTTAAACCAAGAAGAGTACTTAATATCTCACTCTCTGTGGCTGTTGGACTAAATGCAGTAGTAGTGAGTGGCTACCAAAGCCTCAATGTTCCTCTCAGTTACTTTGCCAAAATTTCAATCTCATTCCATGTTACCTTACCACATAGTGCAAAGGCCACAAACCATTTTGTTTTTAACTAGAGAAATGCTAATAATTGTAATTAATTAAATGTTGATCATTGTACATAAAAAATATCATTAATATATTTTTATGTGATTTAAATGCACTTAAATGTACTTTTCAATAAAATCTTTCTTTTTTTACGTGAGAATTAAGAAACTTTGTGCATCTCATTTTTTTATTTAACAAGATTATTTTTACTCTTAATAAATTTTCATTATATCAGTAAACATAATATTGCCAATCTTTTAAGAAATCAAATATTAGAATCACTTTGATTGAAAACCCACTTTAGAATAATTAGAAAATCACAAGTATTAGTGCATTATTACTTTTTTAATGAATTTTTTTATTTTTAACTCCATAATCAGTACTCTTAAGACAATAATTACCACTTTCTAAAAATAAATGGTATTATCACTCTTCTATTTTTGACAAAGATCCAAATGCATGGAGATCTATCTAGCTGAGTATACCTACATAATATATAGATACATAGACTAGTATATGAATAACAAGACAGAGAGAACAAAGATATATAAGGTGAAGGTAAGCAACATTGAAATGGAAGCATGGTTATTAAGTCACTGAAGATGGAGACTTAACATATTAAAGTTACTTGCAGGAACAATACATCAAGAAGAGAATCATCATTCATCAATCAAATGGAAGAGAAGTCACATGGCATGAAGAGAAGGGTCGCCGCCACCGCGGACAGCAGTGGTGGCGATCATATAGAGTGTTCCGGCAAGCATTGTGGGTCATGCACCGGAGGCTTGATTGCTGATTGTGTGGCAATATGTTGCTGCCCTTGTGTGGTGTTACATTGCTTTGCCTTAGCATTTGTGAAGGCACCATTGGTTGTGGGAAGAAGGTGTTTGGGTTTAGGGAACAAGAATAAGAAGATATGCAAGAAGGGGCACGAAGATATCATAGTGGAAAGGAACATGGAAACTGTTTCTAGTTCTGTAGGGGAAATGGAAAGTGTCACTATCAATGCTGGCATTGAAGCTGAGAAGGTTTGGAAGGAGCTTCAACAAATTGGTCATTTGGATTTTGGGAGGGTACATGAAAATTAGATTGGAAATAGTGGTCTTGCTCAATAGGTAAATTTTAATTTTTAGTAGGTTCAAAATTGTTGTTTTGCATATTAGCATTGTCTCAATCTCTGGGGTCTTTGATTCAATTACAAGGTTGATTAGGAATTGAATTCACAAGATGTTTGTGTCTCTTACTTTGACCCGTGACCTTTTGTCAATACTTTGTTTGTCTTGATTTTATAGATGGGATCTTTAGAGCAAAGTGCAATGCAATGCAACATTTTGAAACATTTGTCTTAGGGTCTAATCATGATTATATTTTAGGAGGAGATCCAATAAAAATTGGAGTTAGACTGTCAAGTTTCGTTGGCTCCATGTGCTGGGACAGCCTAGGGGTATTTATTGTTTACCTTTTTTATTCTCTACGTTAGAATATTATATATATTTTTTCTAATTTTATGTGGCTTATCTATAATCAATAAATGAAAATGATTAGTGTATTCTCACGAGATGTACATATCAAGTAAGATATAGAAAAAAGATAAAAAGATTTTATCTGATAAGAAGAAATGGATCTTATTATTTGAATCACTGAAAATTAATTTATTATATAATTATTTTTATACCCACAAAATATGTATTTATAGTGAGGGATTAAAAAAAGAGAAGTGAAAATTGTGATATAAAAAAAAAGACAAAAAAAAGAAGAGATAATAGTACTAAAAAAGTATATGAAATCAAAATTAAGGTACAAAATAGTGTATATGATGTTTTGATATGTTATCAATCAGGGATCAGAGAGGATATTCCCACTTCCTTTTCAATGTTTTTCCCATGCTAATCTTAGAGAGTTAAAGGTTTAGTAATGTTAGAGATAATGGCAACAAATTACAAGAGTGAAATAAGATTAATTTGTTTTCCTTTTCTCTTTCAAAAGTTAATTTTGAAATGAAGAAATGATTCCATCTCCATGGCTGATAAAGCTCATAAAGCAAAGTGTTGCATTATTGGGGGCAACATGGTAAAATAAGTAACATAACAGGGTAAGGTACTACCATTTATATGAAGAGGGACATACTTTGTTTGTCTAGTACTCAAAATGGAAAATAGGGTGTCCCAGATTCTGAGTCAAGGATGCACCTTGTCAAAGTGATGTACAGTAAAGGGCAGAAAAATGTTTGGTCCATCACAAGACAACCCAAAACTCATGTTCTGTTATTGGGCCCATGAAAAATTGTCCTTCAACTTCAATAATGTCATTGTGTGTGAACCCCACATAGTATTAAGCTTTTCACTCAATTCAAATCTCACCATAGTCTTGACCCAAAACCATAAGTTACCATCTCAATTTCTTAAGGAAAGTTCCAAGGATGACCCAAAAAACACAAAAGCATTCCCTAAAGAGTTGTGTTTTTTTTTTAAATGAATGCTCCTTATTGAATCACACAAATATTATTCTTATATTTTTCATTATATAAAAGTAAAATTACACAAATATAAAAACATAATTATTATTTAACATTTATTGAATAATTTGGAGAAATTATAAACATAGAAGATAAAAAATTATAATTTTTTATATCTCTTAAAATATATTAAAATTATGCTAATTATAAACACAAATATAAACTTTTGTTATATCTCTTATTTATCTTTCTAATATTTTTTTATTTTATAAATTAAATATAAAATAAAATATATATTTATTATCTTCAAAATATAAAATATTGAATTGTTTTTCGATAATTAAGAAAATATATGAAAAAAAAAATTATTCTTCAAATGTTACACGCAAAGGTCTTGCCGACTGACTTAATACACTTAGTTAGATTACATCATTACATTTATGAATACGTAAGGGAATACGTTCAATCATAGCTTATAAACATATCAAACTTTTTATTTTTGGGGGTCTAGAAAATGTAATACTGAAAAGTTTATAATTTTTTAAAAGAAATTATTAACATTAAATATTTTTTAAAATAAATTCAATTAAACAAAGAATTTAAAAGAAAAATAAAAAATAATTATTTGCTGCCCTTTAAAGTTGTTAAAATTCATTAAACAACAGTTAAACTTTTATCTCGATTCTTACATATAGTATAAATTAAAAAAAATGAAAATGTTATATTTTTGACATATTTTTCTATATTTTAAAGAAGTAAAAATTTTCTTACCATTTCAAATCTTTTTAGTTTTCGTGTATAATTATTTTCTTATAAAAGCTTAAAATGCTATTCCTTTCAATTAGAATATTTCATTACATATTTGTAATAAAATATTAAACACTTCTTCATAGCATACTTTTCAATTACCACTTTTCCTCTCCTTTCCCTTCTCAGCAGAGAAGTTTATAATTAGCATAATTTTAATATGACATTCGACTCCTTAAATAAGAACATGTGTTAAATGACAAAATATGATTATAGTTGTTATTAATTTGAATTAAACCATGCTAACTTGAACTCATTTTTTAATCAATGGTGGGCACAATTTTATTTATTTATTTGATATATAAAACATTAATTAATACTATAAGTATTTTCAAAATAAAATATAATTTTATTATATATTAATTTTTTTATTAATTTAATGAATTATATATTTATTTTTTATAAATACGACCAGAACTAATGATAAAAAAATTTAATTTATGTAAATTAGGATAAGTTTCAGGCTTCAGCTATAAAGGAAAAATATATAATTTTTCATTAAAATATTGTGATGAAGTAAACGACAGTGCCAAAAATAAAATAAAAAATAAAAAAAATTCGATATTGCTTTGTTCCCGTTCTCGATGTTTCGGTCCGCTAGTTTATGGGAAAACGACAACACTGTGATCGACGTGGCGGTTCAGTGCGCAGTTTAGCAAAGGGATGGAGACGATACTATCGTACGCGTTTGTGCTAAAATCACTCGAATCTCTTTGCTCTATCAATATAAAGCAAAGAGGTCAAAGAAAAGGAAGAGCGAAGTGACTCGTTGGAATTGAATTGAGTTGACTCGGTGTGTTAGTGATGGCCGAAGAGGTGACTCGGATAATGGTGGCCGTGAACGAGTCGAGCATGAAGGGTTATCCGAACCCTTCAATTAGCAGCAAAGGGGCTTTTGAATGGACCATTAACAAGATCGTTCGTAGCAACGTCTCTTCCTTCAGTCTTCTCTTTCTTCACGTTCAAGTTCCTGATGAAGATGGTTCTTTTTCTCTCTCAATTTCTTTTTCATTTATTGTTATTTTTTTACTAATTGAACGAATTTTCGATTTTATTGTTCCTATAAGAGGGAAATTAGTTAAATGAGTTTTATAAGTATGCACATGTTGATGTTATTTCATGAAACGATGGTTCTTTTTTAGATGTATTTTTTTAAAGTGTAATTTGTGAAAAAAATAAAATTACTTCATTGGGTGATTGGTCATGTCATGTTTTATTAAATGTTTTAATTTATTATTTAGTTTACAAGATGATGGAGAGGTGTAAGAATGTAAAGGGATATTTGAATTTGCAGCTGATAATGATGTAGTGAGGGATTTATGTTATAATAAGCAAAGTGAAAAAAACCATGTAGAATCTATTTGTGCTCATTTATTGTTTCTGATAGGTTTTGATGACATGGATAGTATCTATGCATCACCTGAAGATTTTAAGAACATGAAGCAGAGGGATAGAATTAGAGGGATTCATCTGCTGGAATACTTCGTCAATAGGTGTCATGAAATTGGGGTAATGATTTATCTGCTCAACTTTTTGTTTATGCTCTAGCCATTATCTTCATTCTTGTTAAATGGTAAATGAAATGGGTTTTTAATTTTTTCTTTCTCTGTCACCCCAATAATTTGTTTTTATAGCGCTTTTCTCAATTAGGTTAATGTTGATATATATATATGTATATATGTATATCTGTAGGTGGCATGTCAAGCAAAGATAATGCAGGGTGATCCCAAAGAAGTAATATGTCATGAGGTGAAACGGTTAAGGCCTGATCTTCTGGTTGTGGGTAGCCGAGGTCTTGGCCCTTTCCAAAAGTATGTTTGTGATCTCTTTTTCATTTATCAGTTTTGCTAACTTAAGCTTCTGAAATTAGTAAATTTTTGTTGAAAAAAATATATTTATTACATTGGAGATACACGAGTTTAATAAATGTTTTGTTTTCGGATAAAAGTTTACTAGTATTAGTTGCTTAAACTTAGTAATGAGTGGTGAGGTTAACAAAACTGTTCTTTTATAAATTGTTTTGTTTTTCATGAAATGTTGAGAGTGCATTTACTCTCCCAGAATTTAATTTTGTATGAGATATTTTACTAAGTAATTGTAGTGAACGTGTTCTGCAGGGTGTTTGTTGGCACTGTGAGTGAATTTTGTTGGAAGCATGCTGAATGTCCTGTTATTACTATCAAACGCAACGCAGATGAAACTCCTCAGGACCCTGTTGATGACTGATATTTTGTTAGGCACCAAATATTGAAGATAGATTACCTATGCTTATCTAGTTAAAAGAAAAACAATAATTGAATATCATTTAAGAAAATATGTGGAGATTTTCAACTTTTGGTACTTTCTCGCCTTTGTTCCTTCAATCCTCAGTCTGTATTTTCAAGATATATTAATTTCTTTTAGTGTACAAAGCTATCTGCTTATGCCAATGTTGTTTGTGAGTATGAGAGTTTGATGATGTAATATGACATCCTTATCCTTCAATGTGATGTATTCGATGAATGAATTGCAGTATCTTGCATTGCCAAAATATTTTGCACGGTACGGACAATATCACATTATTATTATTATTATTATTATTATTATGTTTCCCTTTTGGTGTTTTGTGTAAGCATGTCAGCCAGTTTTGGCTTCATATTCTCAGAATAGAATGGAAGGAATAGCTGAGGGGTCTGTCCTCAACCCAAAGATAAATGGATTACGGGCAAATCATGAATAGTGTAGACGACTTAATTAAACATTTGTTTCTGATATTAAATATGAAGACGATGGCTTGGTTTCATAACCTTGGCTAAATATGTGACAAATTTCCATTATTGAATATCATCAGAACATCCCAAAGCTTCTGCCAAGCGCCAACACAGTTCATAACGTGTTACAATCTACACAGATTCACCAAAGATGTTTATTAAAGGCATTGCACAAAGTTAGCTTCATATTTTTAATTTCATTCCATCCATTTTATTGTCCATTAAACCTTAAGCCAACTACAAAAGGCATGTCACTTTTTTTTAAAATAAAATAAAAAACGCAAGTATCTCTTTATCCAAGCAATCGCCATCAGGTGTTAATTTCAACCCAAAAAGGGAAAGAATAATATACTTTATCCTTATGAGTTGTTTGCATATTACCACCACGAAGAGATTAAATAATCTAGAAAAATGTTGAGATATATTAAAACTAGAGAGATGCATGGAACGTGTGCATATCATGGACACGAAACCAAAAATCTTGACCCCATCACACTACACCGAGTGATTTATCTAATAAATAAAGGTAGGCATACAGAGTCAAACAAAAAGAGCCTCAGATAATGACAGATCACAAAAAGTTAATTGCATATCATCACTAAACCTACCCTAATCATTGTTACATAATTACTAGTTTCCTACGTGTGATCGATCTATGATGAAGATTCAACCATTTTGTTCACATCCTCCAGAAGGGCTTTCATCTCGCTCTCCAATTTTGTCAACATATCATGAGATTTGTCACCTGATGATGCTAACATTGAAGTCAGGCCTTGGAGTTTCTGTTTTATGAAGATCAATTTTGATGCTTCACTACCATGTGACAGGGGAACAGATGGGGTGGTGTCTTCCTTCTTGGCTGGCAAAGGTTTAGACTTTGATCTTTCACCATGTTGTGCAGACTTTGATCCATCAGAGACATACTGGAGCTGAAAAGTGACATCAGAAGATTCAAAAGGGTTATTGTTTTGTGAGTGGTTTAATGCCTTTTCAGCATCACGAGTTCTTAGGAAGGACACCCGAGCAGTGAAATTTGTACGGAACATGTCTGTTTCTGCTTCATTTAGGTCTCCAAATTTACTATAAATTGTGATGAGATCCGGTTTTGAGGGCAGAGAGGACCCTGGCCAAAATGAAACAAAAAGAACAGCACCTTGAGCATTTTCATCAGTTCCCTTATTACCAATGTTAGTTTCAGGAACTCTCTTTACTTTTGAAATGCCTGCAATTGTTTCCTTTCTTCTCTTTGTTGGCTGAGAATCTAGATTGGGTGATATACGATCAGATTGGCTTTGATCTTTCCTCAACATTGCATGTTCAGATTCTGCTTTCTTTCTCTTCCTTCCAGGTTGCTGTTTCTTGTATGCTTGGCATAATGATCCTTGGCAACATAATGAACTTCTAAAGACAGAAATGAAGTCCACAACTTGATCAAGAGAAGTGCTTTCCCAAGGAATTAATGGACTAATAGCTGCATAGTGGACTTGAGACAGAACTTCTCCCACAGGAGCTTGGATTTTCTTTGGATCAATGGTCTTTTTCTCATCATCTTGTTTTTGGTAATTAGAGCTATTACAAAGCTTCCACTCCTTCTCAACTTCCTTGGAGAAATTCTCTTGAAATGTCTCACCGTTACACTTCAAAATAGTAGGGGAAAGCTTGCCAGCAGCCCTGGCCGTTCCTTGTGGCGGTCTAGCTTTGCCGGATACTTTAAGGGATTCTTGTTCTACGTATCCCTTCATTACCCCGCTGATCGAAGTGGTGAAAGGAGGTGACAAGTACTTGCTTTTCTTCCTTTCTCTAGACAAATAACCCTTTTCATTTCGTCCTTCAGTTCCCCCTTCATCAGTTTCCTTTTTGCTCTCATTGCTATTGTTTTCATAGCCAAAACCTTCTTTCTTCTCTTTTAAATACATCGATGTGCCAATGTTAATGTTTTCCTTGCCCCCAATGCCATCATTTTCAGCACTTGACACATTTCTATGAGTGTCTTGAAGCAACATTTTCATCTGAACTGATTCAGATGCCATTGCATTCTTCTCACTATCTTTTCTCTTTTTTCTACTGCTTGACCCAACTGCATCCACCATTTGATCAGCTGCATATCCCTCTATATTTTTGACATGAACATCTATGTTCTCCCCCATAATTTCAGCAATGCTTTTCTGCTTTCTTCTATGGTTTATTCCATTCGCTAAAAGCAATGGAGAATGACACAATTCACCAGATGTTGAGCTCACTAACAAAGTAGAGTAGTCCTCTTCAAATGGCCCTTGGCCGGGTGCTTTCACCGAACTCTTACTGTTACCTACATCAACTGTTTCAACCATTAGACTATCTTCAAATCCAGGAATCGGCTTGGGATCCACATAATCAGGCAACTTATACCCCCCTTTTGATAAATAAAAGGCTGAAAGCTGAGCCTTCAATATTTCCAGCTCCAGAATACTAGCAATATCAATAATTTTTGCAATTTGTTTCACTCGAGAAAGTAATTCAGCTGGATCAACTGAAACATCTAGAAGTCTTCCTATGTCATTTTCAGCCACAAGAACACCTTCCTTGATTCCAGAATTTTTCGCCATTGGGGGAGAGGACTTAAGTGAACAACTCATGTTTACATACAGAAGCCTTCCAAATTCATTTACAGCTTCTTGCACAGCATTGACAAAAGCTACAGACCTACTCCGCTTAACCATATCATCAAAGTTCTCCTCAAAATGCTTTAATTGTGACGGATGGCACCACGCATAGTTTTCATCCCCAAAGTAAGCAACAAGGAGTCTATTGTTCTTCAAGGTAAGGTGTGATGCATCAGATGGGTCATAAACCCGGCCAGGCCACCAATGATGACTCTTAATTTCACCCCAAACAAAATCACCAACAGCAAAACCATACCCTTCATTGCTTAACTCCTTCACTTCTACATCCATATTCTCATTTGTATCGGCAATTGGAACCTGTACAGTAGCCACAACATTCACATCACAATCTTTATCTTTTTCTCCTTCCTCACTTTTCTTCCCTACCAAACCATCCACCCTCAAAACAACAGCTTCTGCTACTCTCCTCTCACTTTCAGAAGCAAAAACACACTCCAACTTCTCAGTATCACCACTAGAAAACGCCATGCTTACAGCATTCATCTCAGAATCAGCTAAAACTTGACAATCATTTTCCCTCAGAACAAAAACCTGTTTCTCTATGACACTACTCTTAACAGCTTCAACAGCCCCATCATCACTCAAACCATGATTTCCAAGGCTAGAAAATCCATCGTCATTTTCAGGAACCCCACCAAGACCTTCCCTATGCTCGTTCTCCAGCTCTGAACCTTGAACCATATTGTCACTCGGAGATGAACCCCCAAATGATGCCTTGGATGCAGTTTCAACCATGCCCATTTTAAAAATATCAATTTTTTTCTTGAGAAAACAACCTATTCCACAAAATAAAATAAAATCAACACATTTCTAGGGGTTTTGATTCCATGAAATGAAAGAGTGAATATAACTCAAAATGGGGACTTGGAACATTCCTCACTAATGGAAAATGTTTTATTTTCTAAGACAAACCCCAGGTATACTATATTATAAATATTTAATAACTATAAATGTAAAGAGGAAAGAGAGTACCAGAAGGATGAGAGGGTAACCTAGGAAGCTTAATATTTATGCACCATCTCAACTTGAACCAATTCTTGAAACCATTGACATGAGAACATGTGATCAGAAAGAAGACTGAAAGAGGAAGAAGAATGTAACTGGAATATTATTGTTTATATTATATATATATATATATATATATATGTAAACATTGTCATCTTATTATATACTGCTCAAGAAATAACAAAAAGAAATAGTTATAAAATATAAATTGATATTTTATTTTAAAAATGCTCGTAATAGTAAATAATTAAATTTATATGCTATACATTAAATGAATCAGTCTCTTTTTATAAAATAAGATAAGATTTGAAGTAGTATTAATTAAGTTAAAAAATAATAATAATTTAGAAATGTGTGTTTGAAAATACCGAGGAGATGGTTGAATGGGTACTTTCCATTCCATTATTGTGTAGATAGGGCGGTGGAATGGGAAATGAGATTGTCTCCGATATTTCCATTTGATGTTCAGAGATACACAGATTAACTAATACTGCACATTCTGATCTACACGCTTTACTTTCACGCCATCTTTTCAATTTTCATCTAAAAATATATTTTAACAATTTTTTAAATATATTTTAAGTTTTTAATTAAAATAAAAAAATTATAAAACTATAAAAAATTATGAGTAAAAATTATAAAATCAAACATAATTTTTAATATATTTTAATTAATAAATAATAATTTAAAATACTATGGAATTTCTCCTCTCTTGTATGGTTCTTGAGCTCAATCTTTAATAATTTTATTTCTGTGTTTCTTTATTTATTTTGTGCACGAGAAGTATTAATACTTCTCGATTTCGTGGTTGTTTTTTTTTTATTGTTTATACTGTCTATTAAAATTTATACTGTTAAATTTAACATGTGTTAAAATTAAAATATAATGATCAAATTAACAAAAATTATGAGGTTATAAAAAAGTTACACACACAAACAGTAAATTATAAATCTTGTCACATATGACTAAACTGAAAATTAATGTCACGAATGGAGATTAAAAGCATATTTTACCCATAAGTTATTATTTTTGGTATAAATTAACTTAACTTTAAGCAATTTATATATACAAGTAAATTTTTTAACACTCAAATAGTTGAATTAAAAGTAATTTTACTTCAGTATAAGACCATATAATTTTAACTACTCATAATTATATATATATATATATATATATATATTATAAATTATAAATTTTTAATATATCACACAATATTAGTAATCAGATTACATGATTTTTATAAATTATCATTTTTTTTTATAAAAGTGCTGTAGTACACGCGGAAGACTAATCAACTTCCTCATTAATGACTCGGGAACATAACAATTAAATAACATTAATTTCAAAATCAAATATCAATAGAATGCTCTAGCAAGTACCCACTTGTCACGTGTGTTTTCAAAGCAAGTTTCAACTTGAAACACTGGTTGTTGCCATAGCATTATTTTTATTTTATTTTTGGTATTTTAATGAAAAATATTTTTTAAAAAATAAAGTCATTATTAAAATAATTATAATTAAGATGGGGCATTCCGAGAATCGAACTCGGGACCTCTCGCACCCAAAGCGAGAATCATACCACTAGACCAAATGCCCAGATGATTGAATTTTGAAAACTTTCATCTATAAACTTTATACTTTTGAACTATTAACATTTTGATTTTATAACAAAGTAATTTTAAACTTTTATTAAATGAATTTTATCTGTCCAAATATAAACAGCATTGCATGTCTTTCGTATTTTATGGTAGATAATCAAAAGGTGTTATTTGCTTCTGAAAAAAAAAAATATATAGAAACAAACCAAAGACGTTAATTTGGACGATTTTGAATGCAAAATCCAATGCCAATGAACATGTAATCCCAATCAATGGAAGTGTTCTCTTAACCAATAGTTGTAGATAATGAATGGAGCCAGAGAAATTTATATCTAAGTATCATGTCAACAACTAAAGGTGTATTCAATTCATTAAAATAATTGTTTTTCTTATTAATTGAGATAGTAAAAAAAAAAAAAAAAAAAGAAGCCTTGTTAAATGGTATGAACGAGTTTAGCAAATAAAAAAATTGATGAATCTAATTATTTAAATATTTGTTGGTTAATTAATAAATTAAAAATACATTAAAAAAGTATTTGAAAAAAAAATTCATGTAGAATCACTGTATAATGATTTTTAATTCAATTTGTACTATTTCACATCTTTCTTTTGAAAAATGTGATAACTTTATATTAAAAAAAACCATGTCTAAACATTCACTTAGTCCATTAAATTAGATTAGAACATTGATGAGAGTAGTATATAAGATAAATTTGGCCTATCAAAGCAAAAGCTTGAGCATATGTCTAGGCTTTGCTTACACCAATAATCTTCAATAAAAATGCAAAACATACAATGGATTTTTTTTTATTTCATGCGCATAAGCTATATCTCATATATATATATATTCATAATGAACTATATATACTTAAATTCTCTTATTGAGATTTTACCATAATATAAATTTTATTTATATGTGGATTATAAATTATAAAATAAATAAGAATTTTGTTTTGATTTGATTCAATTTTAATTATAAAAATTGAAAGTCAGACCGAAAAAAACTAATTTAAGTGAGTTTTATTTTGTTTAAATTTTTATGTTTAATTTAATCAATTATCAAAATTTTAATGAAATTTTATGATTTAAAATGATTTAGTTAGATTTATAAGGACCCTGATTAACACTAATAACTTTGTACAAGGGGAGGCAGAAAATGAAATTAACGAGTTTATGATTTTTTTTTGTCAACGTTTACGATCTTTTGGACAAAAACTTTTTGTCCAAACTTGTTTCTTTTGGGCCAAAACAATGATTGGGCCAGTGAGAATGAAAGAAAATCCTTAATAATTCCTTTACAATTGCTATATTGTGATTTTTTGTATTACTATTTTCACATAAATTGTGGGACACATGTCCACATCTATGATTGAGTTTTGTGTCCACAAGTAACGTCCACGTGGATAAAAAAAATTAGGAATTGATTTTTCAAGTCAAAATTTAACTATATTTTGTAAATTTTATTAAAATTTTTGAATTTATTATTTTTAATCACTAATAATCAATCTTTAATTTATATTGTAATTTTTTTAATGTCAAGATTTTTTAGTTTATAGTGTTTTTTCTTTATGAAATGTAACTTCATTATTGTTTAACTTTTATTTTTATACTTTTTAAACAATTCTCCAATTATTAAATGTTTTATTGTACATGAAAATTTACTATTTATTCTTAAATTTCTATTGTTTCCTCAAATATCACCTAATTAAATATTTGCAAACTAATTCTTTTCAATTTTTTATTTTATTATTTTAAGTATACATCACTTATAGTATTTATTTATTAAATTAAATATGTATATTTTAATTTATACTTTTAAAATTTTAATTTGATAAAAAAAACCCACGAATTGTTAGTATATTAGTGGGAAAAAGTTTGTAACGTTTCTTTTGCATAACAATATAGGCAAATTAAACTCTTCCTCAACACTTCACTGCATAAAAATTTAAGGGACTATTTAGTTTTAAAAGAAAAATATTTTTATTTTTTGAAAATTTTAATTATAAAAGTTTTTTTTTTCATATTCTCTTTAAATTAATGGTTAATATTCTTCTAATATATTAAAAATTTAAAAATATTTACATTTTTAAAATAAATTACTAATAGCACTGTCTATTAATATAAAAATACTCAACTCTCTTAATTTATAATATATTGTAAAAATTACCTTTGTCCTAAATATTTTCATTTGAAACTTCACTGGGAACTATCGATCACCATTGATTACTCTACCGTTCTTCAGAGATTGCTAAACATTGCTCTTTCATTCTTATGCCTCCACATACCCATCTACCTTATCCATTTCAGTCAACGACATCGACACATGCATGCCCACAAGTGTTCATCCTTCGCCTCCACAATCTAAAACTTCGACACTTGATAATCGATTATCTGTAGAGTTTTGTTGTAGAATACTGCTAGAAATTAATATATATATATATATATATATATATATATATATATATATATACATATATATATATATATGTATATATATATATATTAAGAATATTTATTTTTTCCAATTAAATGTTTTATTTTGCACGTGTTATTAACTAATGGTGATTTTTTATTAAATGTGATCAGTACATATTATATTTTTACCTAAAACTTGGTACTTTCATTTACATAACTAATAGTCTATATATTTATCATCTTATTTTAGATAATTAGCACGTTTGTATATATGTTGTAATTTAAGTTCTTAGAAATGAGTTTAAGTATTTAATAATAGAAATATTTAAAAAAAAAATATTTATAAAAGCTTATATCTCTAAGATTTAAAAAATAAACAAAATACCTATCCCTTACTCTTTTTTAGTTAAAAATGATTAATATTTTTATTTTAAACAATAGTATTTTGAAATAGTAAAATTGTGTGTGCAGCATGCACTAAAAAAAGTTATTAATGATTTTGTCTCATACTGGCTCACACTAGTGGCCGACCCCCAACGTGAATGATCCTTTTCTATCACATGTGAGTTTTTCCTTGGATTTGGAAAATTTTAAAAGGTGGGCTTTTAATTTGGAACATAAATTTAAAACATGAAACATGTGATTGAATAGAATGAATGGCAAATAGATGCTGCAAGCTACTTTTGATATGAAATAGGCTCCACGTTAAATCCCTGCAAGTGATTGACCTCATTTGCTTTATAAGAAGATATGTTAGAACGTACACGAGGACAAAATCTCTAGTCACTCTCGAAACTTTGGGTTGAAACTTGAAACCTAAAGTTGAAGTTGTTGGGGTACACTAGTTGGTTTCAAAATTTGAGAATATTTTTTTTATTAATAAATTAATGACAAATGAATCATATAAATAGACTTAATATACTATATTAAGTTGAGCTAAATATTCATTAAATCAATAGTAATTATTATTATTATTATTATTATTATTATTATTATTATTATTGATAACATTAATAGGACCTTCTATTGACTTAATTCCTTTTGAGCAAGGACTCGAAGGAAGTCGTCATGAAATGTTGTTAAACAAGAAGATGCTATGATTGACTGCTACTTCTTCTCAAGTGTTATTTTGGCTTAATAAAAAAAAAAAGATGCTATGAGCTCAAAAGGGGGCACGTCAACAAAACTCATTGCCAAGAATTAGGTTCATGTCGGGGTCCAATATGTTGCATGGCCATGCACCAAAGTGGGTAACAGGGAAAAGTGGAAGTGAATTTTTGACAGAAATAGCTAGTGGCTGTTATTTCATGATCATGTGTCAATGTTATTGTGGCTTCAATTAGGCAGTTTATGGGCAATTTCTTTTTCTAAAATGTAAATGCAAGTTCATATCCATACTCGCCTGGTTGTCTTTCCAATTATATGAATGAGAAATTTGAGATTACTGTATAATTTAAAACTCCATTGATGAGCTCATTCATAAAACTTCGAAACAAAACAAAAATAACATATTAATACCGGAAAATATTTCAGTTCCCACACTTTTTTTTTTCCTAGTTTGGCTATCTCATCAGCTAATTAAAAGACTAGGTACAAATGAGTCTTTTTCAAAAAAATAAAAAATTATGTATTAACAAATCATCATTAATTAGGTTGAGCTTGAGACAAAGACACAAATCCTAATCTAATTAAGCTGCACATATGTGAGACAAAGTCCTCAACATTTATAATAGGGTTTACTAAATACGAGCATGCTTCCATCTGATAATATATTATGCATCAACGTATCTTATAGGATACACCTCATTTACTATAGTGAAGAGAATGGATATATAGTAGAAACTTCTATAGTCGACTACTTATTAAACAAACAAACCTAATAATGTTTTATTCCACAAAACATACTCTAACCTACAAGCACATAAGCAATTATGTGTGTGGTGTATATATACATACATTTGTGTATGTATGTACGTATGTGTGCGCGCGTCTTCATTTACATTAATTGCATAGACCAAATATCCTCCATGCTCCAATAATTATTGTCATTGGTGTAACAATTTGGCTGATCATTAATTATAGGAAAGTGAGTTGGTAATGAATCCAAATTACTTCCTTGGTAAAAGGGTGGAGTATATGTCTCCATGGACTTTGCCATGGTCGGAACTTGGCTAGTGCTTGCTTGATGATTATTTATCTCTGAATTACTTTGCTGTTGGAAGTTCTCAGCTTGCTTAATGTGCTTTTGGATCCTAGTCCTCCAGAAGTTCTTAATCTCATTGTCAGTTCTTCCGGGAAGATGCTTTGCAATTTTAGACCACCTACATTGATGAATTGAATTATTTGTTAAAGGCAGTGACACATGACTGAAAATTACTAGTTTTGTTTGGCTATATGTTTAAGATGCTTAACCAAAACTTGTAGAAGGTATTAATCAATGGGATCAAACAAACTTAAGTGTATTGATAGTGTTTGCCATCATAAACACTATGCCACTATATATGTACCTATATGACAAGCATTAGGTTAAGTATATATTAATTAATGACACAAAGAAAAATGCAATTGAAATGGAGGACCTACTGATCAGGAGATGGTAAGATAGAATGTGCATGTGTGTGAAAGAAAAAGGAAGAGTGAAATCGAGCTGAAACACGTGTGAAATTTTTTGAAAGAGAAAAGCATAAAGTTGATATTACTTAAAAGCTTCCAGTGGGGTGTCACATTTTATTGATAAGAAAAAAGTAGCTGCACCATTATTAAATAGGGATCACATGTATGGTTGAGACCATGTTCCTTGGCTAAGAATAAAAGTGATGCATGTTAGCCTCGCACATATATAAAGACTATTGTTATAAGATGCCGAAGGTCACGAAATCAGATTTCTCTATGCAAAGTCGAAGGTAGAAAGTGTGATTCAATTCAAGCATCTCCAATTCTCTTTTGCATACCATTCCTCTTCATAATCCCCTCTCCCCGGTCTCTTTTTTAATTTCATTTTATACAAATACAAATTTCAAGGAAATATTTTATACACATTTATATAACCTCATGAATTTCTTTCTTTTCTTGTATCTTGACTCTCATATACTTGCTTCACTTCTCTTTGTTCAAAAACGAGCCACGTGTCCTAAATATGTAGCTAACTTTGCTATCCTAGCTAGTTATCAAAGTTGGTAATAAACTTTATATACTATAAATAAAAATAAGATTTGAAAACTTATTCATTGAAGGATTATTCATGTTTAGTCTTAATGATTGGGGTTGTTTTCTTGGTTGGGAAGAAGTTGGAGGCTGAGAAAGTACAAGGGTGGAACTGGCTAATATATCTGCGTACTATATTAGTCTATAGTCAAGGACACTCACATCTACTATTTCACCCGTTCTTATCAAGAAGAGCTCAAAAGTGCAAGTATTGGTTTGGATCTATTTCATCCCAACTCCTTGAAATTTCTCTATCATGTGACTATTCACTATGCCCTACTCCCATGAGCTCAGCCTAAAATATAATCTAATTAATATTGCTTATTACTTGGTTCTAGATCATTTATCTTTCTATCTCTCTCTTCTTATCACATTATATCACTTGTTATGTTTCTCAATTTTCCCTTATATAAATATTCTTTGCTCCAGGTACAAAACCTATTTACCAACTACTTTCCTGATACATAAGATAGCCAGTTGTATAATGAACTATAGCAACTGAATATCTTTGTTTCGAATAATTAAGAGACACTGTATAACAAGTGTCATTTACTAACAAATACAAATTAACAAACTTTAGAATAACCTTTATTGGTATAATTTTATCTAACAATTAGTAAAACTTTTAAATATTTATACGATATTATACCAATAAATGAAAGTATGAATATATACTATTAATATAACAAGTGTTGGTATAAATATTCAAAGTTTATATTAACAATTTATTTCTTGTTAGATAAAGACTAGACTAACAAATTATTCTAACACTTAATAATTTCTTAGTGTTAGTAAATGACAATTTTTTTAAGTGGGTCGTTGGAGTATAATTTTTGAATGAACAGAGTTAAAATATTCCTTGTATTCTGGCTTTCTTCTGTGTTTCTTTTCCTTAATCTATGTAGTCTTTCGCACCTTCAATAAAGTCGATTCACATGTTATTGTTATGAATATTATATATAAATTGTATAAAATAACTTGATTCAGGAGTTGCTGCATTTTTATTCACTTGAAACGTATGTAGTGCAAATATCCATAGATCTTGTTCTGGTCTTAATATCAAATTATAACAAAGCTAAAATATTCTTTTCACAGCCAACCTCCAGCTTTCAGAGCAAAGATAATAGACACTCAGAAGCTCAAAAATTAGAAACAAATTAAAAGTAAAAATTTTGCATATAATTTAATGAATTCGAGAAAATTTTAAAAAGAAACATATTGAAAGTTTTTAAATATGAAAGCAAAGAGGATCAAGGAGTTTAACTTTGATGCCACTTGATTTCTTATGTTCTTGATAGATCTAAACTATCCCCACCAACCATACATATAAGGAGGTCCACGCCATAACTACTCACGCTCCATCTTCAATGTGGTATAGTTTAGCAAAAGCGAGGCAATTAGAGACATGCATCTAGATAGATTGAATAGAAAGGAAGAGAGAACATGCAAGTTACATGTACCGTCTAATAAAACTCCAATTTCTTGCATATGGATAAAATCAAAATGATTTTGACGACTCGAAAATTTTTAGAGAAACAGATTTTGCATTAGGAATATTGTTGGCCATTTAAAAAACTCTCATGAGTTGTACCAAGAATTATCTCAACCACAAAGTTCTCTCGATCCCCACCAAATAGTCTTCCATGACCGTACTAGCTATAATGTTGCCTTGCTATGCTTTCCAAAACCAAATACTACAACTTAGAAGATAGCCAATAATTTATTTCACCTTTCAAATGCCCGCAAAGAGAAAGTTGGTGGCATTTAATTAATTAATTTTTTTTGTGAAACAATATACCATTTAATTTCTTCAAAAATTACCATGCATATAGTAGGCAGAATACAAGTACTCTCTCTATATATATTTTTTAATTTCTTCTTCATTTTTTTTTCTGTTGTAATGGTTTTCATCATCATATATATTCACCTGTTTCCCCATTTTGCATGAAGTTCCATGATCAAAAGTTGTTCTTCAGGTGTAATATTCCCTCTTATAACATCAGGACGAAGGTAGTTTAGCCACCGGAGTCGGCAACTCTTTCCCGTACGTTTAAGACCTCCAAAACAATCATGATAAATAAGTATCAACCCTAGCTAGGGTTTATGGAGGAAAATAAGAAGAAAAAAAAAGAGCTGAAGAACAATCAATACATCATAATATATAATTAAAAAAAAAAGATGATATATTTTACCAGCAGCTTTGGCCAAGGAATTCCAGACACCTTCACCATGATTTGCAATATAGTTGATCAAGATCAAGTCTTCTTCCATAGTCCATGGTCCCTTTCTTACTTCAGGATCTTGGGATGAGTTGCACGGTTTTTTGTCCATTATTTTATATGCATATGAGAGAGACAGAGAGAGAGAGAGAGAATGAGAGTGAGGCTAGTGAAGAGAGGTGGAAATAATAATGGGTGTTGGAGGGTTTAAATAGAGGAGAATTATAAAATGATTTGTTTCTTCTTAAAGTATTTTTATTAGTGATATCAAAAGGATTTTACGTACCTGGTTATGTTAATCACATAACCTACGTGCATGAATACTAAAACTATAGTTTACAAACTAATATCCTCTGATCATCCTCTTAAGTTATAAAAGCACATGCATCGGAAGCATATGGCATGAATGCATAAATTTATTTTTCAAAAGAAGAAAGGAGATAAGATCGATGCTTCAAGAATATCAGAAGTCTCGTAGAATAGTGGAAGAAGGAAGTATTTACCACCTTTAAAGTATATATAGGTACATTTAAAATATAAAAATACAATTGAAGGAGTAGGCTTTTACACGTATTTATTCATTATTTATCCAATAATATTTAATTAAATGTGATTATTTTAATTATATTTGTCAATATCATATTGTATTATATTATAATATATTTAATTACTGTGCAGAAGGAAATTATTTTTTTCAGAGAAATGTTGTAACAATTTCAATTTCTGATACATACGGATTATTAGACTATATGATTAACAATAAGATCTCTCTATGCTAACATTAATTTACAGGCTTAAATGAGTTTATTTGCGATCCCAATATGGCCTTTTAATGTCAACATAGGTAAATAAAATGGTCCTTCAGGCTAATACATGATGACATTAATTGGCATTTAAAGATAAATAAAGAGATTGCCATAAAAGGATTGTTTTTCTAGAAGATGCTATATTCTTTTATTTTATAATTTTTTAACTTTATTAATTAATATATTTTCACCATTTTTTAATTAAAATATTTTTATAAAAAAGGTACTATTAAACAATTAAAACCATTTTTGAAAAGACAAAATTCAACTTTTACGATAACTTTTATAGATAATTATTCCTCATTAGTTAATATTTAGATACACTTCTGAATTATAAAATGCAATTACCACTCTTAATTTTTTTTTCGACACTCTTATCAGTTACATTTAATTGTAATAAGTTAAACAACAAATCACTCATTTAAACTTAAGGCTTTTTAGGGAAGTTTCTGTCTAAGATGTTGTTTTTCGTTTTGTATACAGTCTTACGATGTTTTTATTTTGGCAAAAATAACCCCTTCAACTTATAAACATTTGATAATTCACTATTTTTATTGTATGCCAGTATTTTTTACATTCTCAAACAAAATTTCTAATATATATGTTGAAATGAATAAATGTTATATTTGAATTTAGTTTAATATGAATTTTTTTGTTAGAGTTTTCTTCATTTCTTACTGTAGTAAAATAAAAAAATGTAAATAAAAAAATATAGCATCTTCTAGAAAAACAATCCTTTTATGGCAATCTCTTTATTTATAATTACCTTCTAAAATACCCTCAATTGTTTTAGTTTCATTGAATATTTTAACACTTTTGTATGAATAGGATTCAAATAAACTTTTAACTCCGACAAAAAAAAAATCATATTTCAAAAGGCCAACTCGTGGCTCGCTCAAGAAAATGATGAATGTATGAAAGTTTTAGCTCAAATTCAATTTTATGGGAAAAAAATTACAAATTTATTTAGACGACATCTAACTTAATCCCACCAACGTTTACTTGTAATTAAGAGATTGAAAGTATGTTTTTTACAGAACATATATATGAAAACTATAATTATATGTTTAAACATGATTTTAATCATAATTTAATTACAAGTGTTTTATTTCATTTTGTATATCCAATGATAGCTTGTCAACTATAATCCCAATATGCATTAATCTGAAAATGCATGATGCATCGACGTATAGACAATAGCATTATCAACCGACTCATACCTTATCATATTTTGAGTTGTATTATCCATATAATAATTTTTAAAATATTTTTATTTCTTTCTATTGTATTAATCATGTTATCTTATATATTTTAAAATTTTCATCTTTCTTTCTTAGATAACAAAGTTCTTAATGCATATGTTATTAACAAATTAAGGACGTGTTTTGATATACAGTTTGATTAAGTATTAATTTATATAATACTTTTTTTTAGAATATTAATTTTATCTTGTTTATAAAAAATAATTATTATTATTTTGTTATAATATAAAAATACTTATTTTTAAATGTATTAATTATCAAATTATTTTTATCTTTTTATTTATTGTGAAATTTATGTTAATAAAGTACTCACATTTTGTTTATATAAATAAATATAATAAATTATTCAATATGTAAAACTTCAATTAGTATTATAAATATTTTTATAATAAATTATAAATTTATTACATACAACTACTTTTTTTTTATATATGTGATTTATAAACAATAATTAGTTATGATTTTTTAAAAATAAGTTAAAAATAACTTATTTTAATAAATTATATAAAAATTTATTAAAATAAATAAAATTAACTTATAAAAGTCGTCAAATATTTTTATAAATTATTTATAATTATTTTTAACACACTCTAAATGATATATAAGAAAAAAAGCATACGTATAATTTATCAAAGCTTTTTAAACAATAAATTATTGAAGCACAAATACATTCTCGTTCGTATTCTTACACCAGACCAGGATTTTCAAAACATAGTCCAAGTAATAAATAAATTCAACCTATTGCCTTCGTACTCAAATTTTTGTTATAGAAATTTTTTACATATAATTTTAAATGGTGAATTGATTAACTGCATTTTTATCACATCTTTTTTTTTCTTCTAAAATGTAACATGCAAGACTAATGCAACGATTCGCTTAATTAGGATAAGTATTAAATTTTTTTTATTAAATTCTGTAAATCCGTCAAGTTTACATAGATGTTGATTGGTTCTCTGAACCATTAAATCATAAGTAATTATTATATTGAGTTTTGTATATATAAACTTTGAAAAAAAAAAGACAATTTTAGTATTTTTATTTTTTGAGTTTAACTTTGATTATTCTTTTATTATAACAATGATACACGTTACTACTCATTCATCATAATTTTGTTAAACTGATTTTTTCTTTAATGATTATTAAAATTAGTGTTTCTTCTAATTACTAAATTGTAACTAAAATATTAAAATTTAATGTAAATAAAATTTAATAATTAGAAGGAAGTATAAAGGAAAACGACAAAACCAACTGGAATATTAAAAAGCAATTAATAAAATGTGGTCACAATTGCTTCAAGAGATAATCAAAACTTTAATTGAAAGAAGAAACAGTATACATTAAGGATGAGGATCTAAATAATAGATAGGATATTGTATCATGATCCATGGTTTAGACTAAAATAAATACATCTTTCATTTAAAGAGACCTCTTCCTAACTTCAACCAAGTATCAGCCACTAGACCTATCATCTGATCAAATCAATGTGCATAATTCCTTAGTTTTTCACACTTATCAGCATTTTTCAGTTCAGACACCAAGAAAAGTAGCATAAAAGCATTGCTACTTTGGGAAATCCATGTTATGGGTGTTGATATCACTCTTGACATGATTCAACCCACTCTCCACCTCCATAGCGTGTGGGATTATCTACTTTATCAGTATCTTGTTAATAATGGTTAGGAATATGCTAAATAATCTTAAAGGGAGTTAGATTAAAACGATTTATTTAAAAATTAAATATAAATTATAAATTCAAATGCCTTTTTATTAGTAACTTATATAAAATAATCTATGGTCACATGTAAAAGTATATAAATATTTGTATTATTTTAAATACTTATATTAAAAAAGGGATAAATTATTAATCTGAAAGTTCGAAGAAATGAGCGTTTTGGGTGAGAGAGAGCGTAAGCTGTAGAAGTGTCTTTGATATACCACTTTGCATGTAGGCATAAGAGTCTAGTGACAGTGCTGAAGACCCCATTATGTGGTTTCTTTATTTGGAAATTTTGCTGATTCATTTCTAAATGTTAAAGACTTAAAGCATAAGATATCAAGATAACGTGGGATTAATGGCTAGAAAACTATTGGAACTTTGTAGTGTCTGCTTTACTTAGGGATCTTAATGACAACCCACATGGGGCAATCCAATAAACTCACATAAGAGATTATAAATCATTAGGGATGCAATTCTTTAAATAGATTAGAGGACCTGTCCCAACCACACACATATTTTGTGGCTAACAATGCATTAAATTAAATTTGTCTCCATTAGTAGTAGGTGTGAGGACTAAGATGTGCCACCACTAATAGTACTACTACTAACTGTAGTTTCCCTGATTTAATGTTTTTAATTTACAAAAATAAATTATATGTTAAACACAACAATTTATTTAAAATAAGTTAATGTAAATATGTCTATTTTTGTTATTATCACTATCAATGTAAGTTGATTGACAAATCATGGGTAGATTCCGATGGCTATCTAAACCTGTAATTAATTAGAAAATATTTTCTTAGTTAGTATTAAGATAATGGAGACATTTTTTAGTTTCCCTCAAAGTAGGTAAGAAGAGATGAAGTGGTCCGTGTGAAATAAAATAATAATAATAATACACTTGGGACAAACTTTCTTATTACTCAAGTACTCAAGCCATGCAAGATTCGAGTCTTTAACATCGTTATATGTATATATTAAACAACTCTACTTCTATTTTATTGATTAAAAAATAAATTATAAACTTCTAATTAATTAATAAGATTGTGTTACTAAATACACTCTAAATATTCAAAATAATTATGTTTATGTACACAATTAAAACGTTAAGCTTTGGTGAAAAGAATTAAACTAAGAAATAGGAATCTAAGCAAATCAAGGAGGATTTTGTGGTGTGAGCATCAGAGAAACTAGGCTTCAATTGCATTAAAATGCTTTCTTTTCTTTGTGGTTTAAAGATTAAGGCCTCATTTGAGAATACAATAGAGTAAAAAATAAAAAGACGAGTCTAATAAAACATAAGAGTATAATAAATTTTTATCTTATCATATATTTAATATACATTAGAATAATAAAATAAATAATACTAAGCGATCATATACGGTGTTATTGCTTCTTCTTCTTCTTTTTTGCTATTTTTAATTTAATTTTTTGACATATATATATATATATATATATATATATATATAGACAAAAAAAAATTTACACTATTGTCCAATTATATATTGTCATATTAACAATAATAATTGATTTATGTAATAATTAATATAAAAATCATATCAAATAATGTATTCTAATTAGTTGATAATGTTAAATTTTATATTGACAATGCACTAAAATGAAACTCATACAAATAATATTAAAATTTTTGTATTAAATTATAATAATTTTATTAAATTTTATGATTAAATTTTATGTAATAAATTGTAATTGAAAATATAAATTATAAAAAATTAAAATACATTTTATAAAATGAGATATATTTTTTTATAAAAAATTAATAAATATTTATTATAAAAATAATGTTCATAGAGCTTTTATAAAATTATTAAAATTATATTTTTAAATAATATATTCTTTACAAAATGCTAAAAAGATACAAAGTATGAGTAAGAAAAATAAAATTATAATATCCTGACCATTTTTAGCTCATCATCTCAATCAGGATAAAAATTTAATAACAAGCACTAAAAATAGAATACGATAACATCTTATTTTTACCGTGAAATACACCCTAAATTAAATCAATATATCTTTCTAATTTGGTTAGTCAATGATAACAAATTACCAACATATCATTCCGTAATTAAATCTCCTATTCAGGCATTTAAGGAGTTAGATAAGGAAAACAAGAAATTCTAGGAGGTTAAATTAATGATTGGTTAACTCAATTTACCACAAAAATATAACAAATTAGCTTTTGCAATCTTGGGGTCGTTTTAGCTATATATAAAATTCTTGATTAATATCATGATAAATAAACTAGTTGGTTTGGTTGAAAAAATAAATTCGATTGAGTTGACTCACAAGTAAAAACATATTTTGACATTTATAAACTGTGTTTTGTATTAGAAGTTAAGATGCAATGCAGAATCAGTCTGCACCCACTACACTCCGTCTCAGTATTAGTTTCTGATGCTTCAGGAAACTCAATCTCGCATGCAGACCAAAAAAAGAAAAGCAAAGCAAGTCCACTGCAAAACTGGACAAAGACGAGTGAAACGATGTTACAGGACATGCACGTGTCTAGGATTTGGATTAATCCTTCTTTTGTTTTTTGTCACTATATGATCATTGCATCTCACCCAATAAATGGCTTAGTTTTGAGTCGCTATCTGTAATTGGAACTGAGCGAAGCCTATACTTGAGCAACGGTGACTCTTGGCCCAAGAACAAATGGAGCAAATTTTCAGTCCTGATTCAACAATGGCTTGACAATACCACTATCATAAATAGCCCAAGCAGGAACATAACGCAAGGAAATATTTATCCGATAATCAAACTAACAAAATGAACATGAACAAGGCACGCCGAAGGATATTACAAGAGTTCCAAATATAGCTAAAAGTATTAGCTAATTTAAGCAATCATACAAACCCAAGTTACACCGAGGGTGAGAATATTTCTAACATTCTGCTATTACACCATGCACTTGAAAGAAAAAGCATCTTTCTCCAAGAATCGCCAGCCTCGCATGAAATCACCAGAGACAATAACAAAATTTTTCAAATCTCTCATGCCTAAGAAAACAGAAAAGGTACGTTAGTCACCATATTTAAAATAGCAGACATCATGCTTTAACTATTTACCGATAGTCGTCGTTCAGTCTAAAGGCATTTTAAAACAATTTTAAACCACAATTATGGTCCACTTAAGAGTTACTCACTCTACATTACACTTTTCCTTTTAATCTGTACATAATTGGTCAAATTCAAAAATAACTACAGGAGGGAGGGCTGTCATATCACCGGATTGACAACAATGCAAATCACGCAAGCATTATCATCCTCACATTTTAATTACAGCTACAAAATTGTGGCTTACCTTGCTGGCAATGTTATTAGAAAGCCACTCCAAACCCTCATAGAGACCCTCTCCAGAAGTTGCACAAGTGCTCTGGATATACCTGAAATAAATCAAGCCATTGAATGAAAAAATGTTGCTTATACATGCAAGTCTCTTTGGTAAGTAGATAATGAAGACTTTGAGCTACAAACTAATTCACAAAAGTTCCTTCCCACACAAATACAAGAAATTCTATATTATCATTTTTATCAATTGAAAGTTTATTTCAATGCAGATCAGATCTACTTACCAGTGGCGTTGGCGGAGGGAATGAAGTCCAAGCTTGTCAGTTATTTCTGCAGCATTCATTGCATTAGGAAGATCTTGTTTGTTGGCAAAAACAAGCAAAACAGCATCTCTAAGTTCGTCCTGAAACAAAATCAACATTCAGATTCTAACATCAGCATTATAAATTTTCAAAAGCTGCAATTTAATTTTAAAGGAATTTATTTATATTACATGGGTAAAAAAAGTATGAAATAATTTAGATAACAAAAAATAGCAGGAAATGGGATGAAACCATCAACCCATGCATATAGTATAAGTAAACAACAGCTAAATTCCTTTGGCAATGAATCAATAGCATAACAAAGCATTCCATTAAGTTCACAGAGTTTCCATCAAGGTCACAAAATCATAATAATGAATTTCTTAAATCATTGCATGGCATAATAATTTTTCATTCCTTTTCCCCATTTTTCTTTTTTTGGTGTTCTCCTTTTTGGCATTCAAAAACTACACAAACACTCCTGAAGAAACTTAAAAATTAATATTATTACCAAACAAGAAGATGACCTCCAACAAATTGCAAGACTTTGCAGGAAAATTGAAAGGAAAAATTAATTTGCAGTTAGTGAACACTCAAGACAAAAACAATTTTAATAAGAGCTGATATCTAGCCTTAGGGGCCTAGATAGAGATAATCAAAATATAAAATGTTGGAAAGCAGATATTAAGAAGCAATATAGAAACCCACAAAGGGTGAATCAGAGCCTCTGGGACTAGAAGTCTAGAACACATTCAAACACTCAAAAAGCAACCCAAAATAAGATATGTCAAATAATCAAACAGGAATTAGTCCTATGTGCAGTTCATAATGGGCAGAACTGCTGAAACCTGAAGGAATGCCTCTTAGTCTCACCCCAAAATAAGTGATATAGAAAAGCATAGACCAATTAACACAAGCAAGAGTGATGCAGGAACACGAAACATTACAATCATAAAATAAAGATAATAAAAGATACATGTGAAGTGAAAGCTACAAGGCTAATAAAAATAATACCTCATTTAACATCCTGTGCAACTCGTCCCTTGCCTCAACCACTCTATCTCTATCATTGCTATCAACAACAAAAATGAGACCCTGGGTGTTCTGGAAGTAGTGCCTCCACAGTGGACGGATCTGCAGATAGCAATTAAAGTTAGTTAAAAAATTGCATAAAGTAACCCTTATAGTAGATAATAATAACAAGATGTCATAATGGAATATACAACACAAGGCACTATGCAAATAAAACTTGTTGGAACAGTGATATGGTGGGTTTAGCTTAATTTGAAGAAATTAGAGCTTTCGTTTTTTCACTTCTTCCTAAGAGCTTTTGAAAAAGAAAAAAATGATTATTTTTTTACAAAAAGCTATGTCCAAATGTGCAATAAATATTAGACATTGATCAAATAAAGACAGGCCCACCAGTGATGTCCGAAAGAAATAATGTCCCAATACATACATCATATTAATCAGTTGATAAGCATGGCAAAAACATAATCATGCATAAAACTGTAGCAAAAACACCTATAGACAACCCTGCTTCACTTTGTCACTCATTAACAGTAAAACATCACATCACCCATCATGCATACCCAAGCTCACGTTCCCCACTCCCATCACCATAATAATGAGAGAGAGAGAGAGAGAGAGGCATAAACAATGCAAATACATTTTCCCAGAACAAACCTTGGTAAGATATGCAGAAGCCACCTTCAAATTGACATAAAACACTCAAGTTTATATATCAATTAAACCACAAGTAGAGAACCCATATCATAAACTTTGAATAGAGCTAGGACGTGAAGGTAGCTTAAGATTGCAAATCTTACCCATGCATGACTTCTACAAGATGTCTGTCACCATAGGCACAAACAAGCATAAAGAGACAAGGAAGAGCAACTGTACCTTGTCCTGACCACCAACATCCCATACAGTGAAGCTGATGTTCTTGTACTCCACGGTCTCAACATTAAATCCTGCAGAGAAGAAGTGACTCTCGTTTATTTATACATATAGGATTTAGAAATATCTCCTCCTAGTCACATTAGTTGATTATCAAGAGGAAACACTACTTTATCCAACCCAATTCATAATGTAAATTTCCGTGTTCGTTAATAATACCACACCACAAGGGCCAGAAACACAAATAAATAAATAAATTGAAATTTACAAGTATCAGAGGTATAGGCAAAGGGATCAACTAAAACTTGCAAAACACTAGTTATACTTATGTGGTCATACCTCCCAATAAATTTTTATAAAATAGAATTCAATTTCTACCAATTTAACCCTTGAATCCACATACAAATAATTAAAAGTAGGCTCCAGCAAGTATACATCATAATTTCCACCTAACCACCTCTAAATTGCTAAAAAAAATGTATTAAGATAGGAAGAAATAACCCATCTTTCACAAACGCATTCCTTAGGTGCAAACTTTTTACATTCTGTACAACTTCTACAACGAAGAATGACTGCACAATAATCAACCCCAGGCGATACATCACCTTCCGTGTAAATATAAAGCTAATCTTAGTAAAAATATTTTGTGTGTGTGATGTACATAATTATAATTCAAGGCAATAATTTTTTTTTAAAAAAAAAAGATTCAATAACCACGACGAAACATTTATTTAAAAAATTAAAAGGAAATTAACGAGTAGCAGTGAGATAAATAAACTAACCAATGGTAGGGATAGTGGTGACGATTTCTCCGAGCTTGAGCTTGTACAAGATGGTTGTCTTACCAGCAGCATCGAGACCTACCATCAGAATCCTCATTTCCTTCTTCGCGAATAACCTGCTGAACAGCTTCGTGAACGTTAACCCCATCTTCTCTCACTCCAATCGCTGATCCACGCAAACAATCAGACCGAATAACGCAATAAATCACCCGATCGTGGATTGACGATCCAGAAATTCGATCAGATACGAAGATAATTATAATTAGTTTATAAAGAAGCAAAAATTGGAACAGAGAAACAAAAATTATGAATTATTGTTTTCGAGACGAATTGAAATTGTGATTTGAAAGAGATAGAAGGGAATTAAATCAGAGATGAACGAATTTACCTCTTCTCGTTGTCGAGGTTTTCGAAGAAGAGCGAATCGCGATTTTGTTGAGAGAGAGAGAGAGAGGGAGAGAGAGAGAGAACGCAGTTTTTCTTCACACAGTTATTTAATGCAAATGCATGTAGTACGACGTCGCAGCGAACCTTCTTTAAACGTCATCGTTTTTGTTTGGATCCTTTCGAATTGTGCTTGTTTGCTTGATCATTGGTATTCAATAATCAGTTCTCTATGTACAGGTTAAAAATAATACACCTATATTTATTGGATTTTTTTTGTGCCTGTGTTCTTTTTCACAATAATTTTTCATGGTAAGTTTTCTCTCATTCTCAATTTTGTGTTCTTTTATTTTTTTTTGTCGAAAATAAAAAATGAGGTATTCAAAAAATGTTTTGTTACCTTTTCGCATAAAATAGCAATGTTTATTTATTATAACCATGCTTGTATGAAGCCTCAATTAAGAATAAAATTAGCCACAATTTTTTGGAATGTATATTTTTATTTTTAAAAAAAAAATGCAAAGTTAACATTTAAAGACAAGTCAAATGGATACTATGTTGCAAGTCACTCATAATTTTTTATTTTTATATAATATTTTAAAAAAATATATAGTAAGATACGAAATTTTGGATAAAATTATAAAAGTATGGAAACTCAAAATCATTAAAACGTAGGTGCAGAGATTTTAAAATGGAGCAATTAAAAATTGTTAAAAAATTAAAATACTAAAAATCGTCATTGATGATTTTTAAAAAAATTAACTACAAAAAATTGTCAATAAATTTTTTAAAAAGTATAAAAAAATTAAATTACTTGACAAATTTTAAACAATTTTTGAATTTTTTTTATATTTCTGTAATTTAAAAAAAATAAAATCATATTTTGATGTTTTAATTATTTTTTTCGTATATAAAACACACACAAAAAAGGTGAAAGGCTATCATGGATACTAGATACATTAAAAGAAAAAGATGATGATATTATAAGGCTTACACATTCTTCCCATTTGACAAATTTTTCAATCTAAATATACAATAACTTGTAAATCTTCTCCCCTACATATTTTTGGCACAATCTTCCATGTCATCCAGCATTACATAAATGATAACTAATTTTTTTACATCACAATAATAACTTTTAATTCTATGGTGTATAGTATAATCTATATATATATAGTGGTGATTTCAGCAAGAATCTTTGTTAGAAAGGATTCCAGAGTGTGATGGGTTTCCACTCTCTAGACATTGAATTGGAGGAACTGTTTTAGTTTTCAACTCTCCATATGCTTCCCAACAAAAAGGAACATTGGAATTTTGAGTTCCTTGAGCTGATTCTAGCTGAATGGTATTCAATGTTATTCCAGTACAAGGGAATCTATCACTGCATGCGAAATAAACAGGCTCCTTAGTATATGTTCCCTTTATATTTACATAGTTTATGCCTGACACTGCCACAGCTGATGATTCATTCTTGCACTTTCCACCATCACAGTAGTATTGGTCAATTGAAATTGGAGTTTCAACCTCAGAAACTTGAACACCCGAAAACATTATATTCTGTACTGAGCCATACCCACCCTAAGGAATACAAATTCAACAAGTTAATTATTATTATGATAGAAAATTAATTTTACTGTATAAGGCTTGATTATACCTGCCATGTTTTGATTCTGACACCAGTTAAGGTATTTTTGATGGTAACATCTCGAACGGTGACGTTTCGTACACAGGCTTTGGTGTTTTCTCTTCCGAGACTTCCAATGCTGATACCATGACCGGGTCCACAATTGACAGTGTGTATATATACGTTGGAACACCCAGTTTGTACAGAGACGCAGTCATCGCCTGCATAAATCAGTACAACAAAGTTCCTCACATGAACAAAAATTTGATTTGCTTCAGATTTTTTGCTTTGTTTCTTTCATAATAAAATGCCTTCATAACTATTTAAGGGGAAATTAAAGATTAATTTCGAAGATCAAATGGAGTCTTAACCTACTACAAGTAGAGTTTAATTAAATGGTACGAGTTTTACTTTTTTTTTAGTAGCTCTTATTGTGAGGTGGTACTACATTTTTTAATTTTTAACTTAAGTATATAAAATTGAGTTAAGATAAATTGTAATAAATGTCAAACTTAAATATTTACACTATTTAGTTATTCTTTATAAATTAAAAATTAATTAATTTAAACATCAAATTTTATGTAATTTATATATTTATAAAAAAATATTATTCAAAAAATTTGATATTTATTTATATTTAAAAAATATATTATTAGTTTAAATAAAGTAATATAACAAATTATTTAATAATTTTAATATTTTCATGAAATTTTATAAACTTAATCTACTTACTATTATTAAATATATAAATTTAACACATGTTTGAACAAATCTAACTCTATAAAGTCATATTGATTAATAGCTTCATGTCCCATTCAGAACATGAGATGATATATTTGTGTTTGCTACCTCATGTAAGATGACAAAGAGAGAGATTCAAGTTTCAAATTTTCTAATAATTATGCTTACCACAAGCAAGTGTGCTACTATAAATGACCACATCTTGGGAGTTTTGTAGGTGGATTCCATCAGTGTTGGGGCTATCACCAGGTGATGAAACATTAATATCAAAAACTTGAACATTTGTGCAAGAGTCAAACTTAAGATGGGTTTGTTGACTATTCTGAATCGTTATGCCTGTGACTGTTACACCATCACTTCCATAGAACCTAAGTGCCTATGCATAAAGAAAGAATAATATAACACTAGATGAGAATTTTAGTTTCAATTTCAAGGAGAAGTTCAATAATGTAAGGACTCTTACTGTTGGTTTTGTGCTTGGCATTTTTCCACCATTCCACCAAGCAGAGCCTTGACCATCAATGACACCTTTACCTCTTATTGTAATCTTATTAAGCTTTGAGAAATCAAGCCATTCCAAGGTACCAGAGCCCCAAGCTGAAGGGCTTGTAGGTGCAATGATTTTGCCATCCAACTGCATGTATTTTTATTAATATAGTATATGTTAAGTAAACATCCTTTTCAACATTTCAATGTTTGCTTTGTTTGAAACACAAAAAATATTTCTATTTTTGATTTCAAAATCCAAAAGGGGCATTTTGTTGGCTTATATTATAGTGTTTGTAGGATGACAAATGGGAGGGAAATATCAGATATGGTAAGAGATTGGATAGAGTAATTCATTCACCTGAAAAACAATATTTTGCTGACAATTAGGGCCTGAGAAAGTGATTGGTTTCACCAGAAACACAGAACCAGATGGAACAACCATTGTTGAGGCCTCCACCTTACAAGCAGCTACCCATGCGTCTTCAAAGGCCTTTTATTTAATGTAATTAAAAAGTGAATACTTATTTAAGCAAAAATAATCAATGATAAACCTTAGAAGCAACAAATCACATACACACTAGTGGGTTCAAGTTTTTTTTTTTTTTTTTGGTTTTGTATTAACAGGGCTGAGGAAGCAGCCATTGACTTTTTTGTCATCGTCTAAATACTAAATTTAAATTAGAAACTATATATTTGTACAATTAATTTAAATAATTTTTGGTATAATAAATAAAGAGGAAAAAATATTAAATAATAATAGAGAGAAATAAGAAAATAAGTTTTCTAACATGTGTCTAAAAGTACATGATAGAAACTTATATATAACAAGTTTTTAGTTAAAAAAAACAAAAAAGTTATCTCATAACACATTATAACATTAAATGTTAAAAATTTTAATAAAATATTATTCTTCATTAAATTCTTTTATTGTATAACCTTATACACGTATTAAAAAATCACAAAAAATAATGTCATTTAAAATATTTTAAAAAAGTATTATTATACAAATAATATAACTCAAATTTAAAACAGCTAATATGGTAATTATTTCAAGTAATGTGTAATTTTTTCTGTTTTGTTGGCTTCACTCTTCATGAAAAGAAACATGAAAGTGAAACCATGAGGGAAAACAATTTGGAATCACATTCACCTTTGTGTCATCTGCATGTCCATCACCTTTAGCACCATAATCTAATACATTAAAAGTGGTAGAGGCAGTAACAGCTTTGAGTTTCCTCAAAGGGTTGTTTCGTGCGGCGATGCAGCGTTCAAAACTTGAACACCAAAGAGAAAACACAGTGGCAATGATCAATATTGTAATGGTGTTTAGGTTCATAGTCTTCATTTTAAAGAGAGAGAGAGAGAGAGAGAGAGAAATACAAAGTGAAAATGTGAAAGAATTAGATAAAGAGATTTGCTCCAGCTAACATAGCAGGAAATTGAAGCTCTATTTATAGAAAAAAAATGTGACATTAGCTATGCACACGAGCCACACAGTGTCAATTATCAAATCATGACAGCTTTCATGTTAGGGGCTATGCATTTGATAATGTTATTGTACATATATTGATTTCTTATATTCATTTTTTTTCAATATAGATTTAGATTGACCCACCCATTGACACTAGAAGGATGAATTTTAACTTTAACGTTAGAGTTTGAATCTTATTGGTCTGTGGAGGGGCCATGCCTTTTGGACTCAAATTACTGCTGCATAATTTTTTTTTTCTCCTTTCTTATTCTTCCAATTAAAAATAATACCTCAGAAAAGGAAAAAAAGTACAATGGATGGAAATATACGAATTCAATCCATGACTTGTGACACAACTCTAGAAATTCAATTATTATTTTTAAAGTTCAATTTTTATAATCTCAAACCCATTATATATAATTTTTTTTTTCAAATCTTATCATTTTATTTATTTTCTTTTCATACCTTTTTTTTACTTTAACTTGAAATCTCTTGATGTCAGATATCAAACTTAAATACTTACATCATTTTATATTTTTTTATATAATATAAAATTAATCAATTTAATTTTTGAATCATTTTATATATATATATATATATATATATATTCTAATTATATATATTAAATTTCACATAATTTATACATTTGTAGATATACTATTAAATTTGATATTTTATGTACTTATATTTTAAAATACATTGTTTTTTAAAATAAAAATGAGATCAGGTGTTTGGTAATTTTATATTTTATAAAATTTTATAAAATTAATTATTAAATAAAAACTTTTAAATAAATAGTTAGACTAATTAATTTTATGTTTTATAAAAAGTTAAATATGAAAAATTCACTCCTAATTTCAACAAATTCTAAATTTTGGCTCTCTTACTTTTAAAGGTATTGCCCTTCGTGGGCGTTAAAAAAAAATTCAAAGAAATTAGTGAGAAAAGACACAAAAAAAAGAGGAAGAAATATCAGCCGTTACTTGCTTGACCTGCCAATACTATGCTCCAAAACATGCACCAACGACTTATGTCTATTTGGCGTTTGCTTTCTTTTGTTCCTATTTGTTTAGTTGACAATATTATAAAGTTTTACCATCGTAGTGCTTAGAGGATGATCTACGTCAATGCTTTGCCAACAATTTGTTTTAATTTTATTAAGAGTGTAAAACCAAATAAAGTAAAACAAAATAAACTGATTTCTTTACGTTCTAAACTTATGACAATCCTATTGTAATTTTGATTCATTTATAGTAAATAACTAAAATCTCGCATATAAACTTTTTGTTCTTATGACTATGGAGTGTTCATCACATAATTGATTAAAATTTTTTAAGAATCTTAAATTGTGTTTCTACTAAGAAAACACTAGTCTTCAGGTTTTTACTCTGAAACGGTGACCTCCTTCTGACTGTCGCTGACATGGTTCAACGTGAGGAGAGTACCTGCAAAAGGCACTTCGATGCTGAAGTTAGGATTCGATTCTAAGTAATAAGTGCTATTTAATATTGAAAAGTCAACCATTTACATGTACTTCCTATCTTCCTTTTATAGGCAATGATATGGGCTAATGGGCTTGCAAAGTCAACCTGATTTTGGCCTTTTAATTAAGGTAGATAATGATCTGTTAATTACTGCTAATTAAGTTAATTACCTTTTAATTCTGACATGGGGTATTTGGTTATGTTAGGCCGAAGGGATATTTGGTTACCTTCTCCTATAAGTAAATTCGAGGGGTGGATAGGACCGAGGAGTGCCTTATCCAGTACACTAGCCCCCAAACCCGAAGAAGTACAAGGTAAGGGCTTAATACAAAGATCAAGAATATGTAGGTGAGAAGGTACTCGGTTTTCTAAAGCAATCAGTGTTGTAAGAAATGTTTTGTTTAACTTGCGAGGGTATCAAGAAGTAAGTGTACCGAGAGGGTACTCAGTTTTAATAATGTAATTGAACCGAGTAGGGTATTCGGTTAAGGTGTAGACCAAATAGGTACTAGGTTTATTGAATAGCACACACCCCATGGTACTCGGTTTAGTGAAGGAGTGATTTAAACCGAGAGAGTCCAATTTAGACACCAGAATAATAAAATAATAATTAATGAATAAAGATCACTTTAGGGCTTCAGATACACACACACACACAACACACACACACACATATATATATATATATTAGGGTTTCCTCGAAGTGTATATATGAGATGAAAGGGTGCTCGATCTAAGCCATAGATCTGGAGAAGATCTGTCGATCTAGAAGGGGTGCGACCCTTCGCATGCCCGAAGCCTCAGGTTCTATAAATACGTGGTGGTCCATGCTTCTATTTCTCACTTTTTCTCTGATCCCAGGGGTATATATTCTTGCTTTGAATCGAGGGGTACTCTGTTCTAGAAGTCTCTTCTTCCAACCGACTACTGCAAGGTACGCTTAGTCATCCTTTATTTTAAGTATTTTATCATGGCCTAATCCTTAGAATGGGAGGACTCTTTGTCGAACTCATCAAGGTCGACTACTGTCGAAGTAGAAGTTGTAGATGAAACCGAAAGGGGTGATGAAGTTTCTTCAACGCCGAATAGGGTGGATAAAGAGTTAACGGTTCAAGCCACTGATTCTGAGTTAAGGGTGAAACGCGGTGACGAAACTGACTCGTCTGGTTCTACTGATTCTGAGTCTACTGAACTTCTTCCAAGTATTAGCCCTTCTAAGGAAAGACCAATATTTCCTCCCTGTATGATTCCTGGATACAAGTAGGTTCATGGTGAAGTGGCTGCCTACTTCTCCCGCTTCAAGAAAAATAAGAGTCTTCAATTTTTTGTAGACCACTGTGATATTTCACTGTGGGAGGATTCAGATCCATACCCTATAATCCTCAATATTTGTCGGGAGGATGAAAGCGAGAACCTTAATTTTGTCTTTTTAGGGGGTGTCAGAATGGTCGACACATTCTTTGTATATGAGTATATGTTTAGAGAATTAGGTATCAGGCTACCCTTTGACGACTTCCAAATAGGAGTATTGAGGGTTTTAAATGTAGCGCCAATACAATTTCATCTGAATGGGTGGGCGGCAATACAAGCCTTTAGAATTTTATGTAAGTTTCATTATATAGAACCTAGTGTAGGCTTGTTTCTCCATTTCTTTTGTACTTGTCCTTCAAATTTAGCAAGGTGGGTTTCTTTAATAAGACAACCTGAATTGCCATTATTCAAGCCTTACGCTTCATCTTTTAAAGGTTTTAAGACCGGTTACTTCAAAATAACCGTGCACCCTGTAGGTAGAAATTATTTTTTTGATAGTAAGAACAATCCCATCTTTCCCTTCCATTGGACTTGGGTGCCTCGTCGGTATGACAATCTTTCTGAAGACATGTTGTCGGTCAGAGAACTATCAGCCTTGGAATACCTGAAGTCTCTTCCCCGAGAGCTTCATGCCCGAGAACTAATCCTTTTGCTAAAGTCTCCTCAGCCACGTCTGGACATGGATGGTATGCTTTGTTTTTATAGTTAAGTTTTTGAACCGAGTGGTATTGATTTGACTTTTTGTTTTTATTGTAGGTTTGATGGCTCAAAGAGGGGTTGACATGCCGACATATCGTCATGGCTTAACGAGGAAAGCTCCAGATACTCATGTAGAAGAGCATCATCATCCTTACATTGATCTTGTTATTCCGGTCATGGCCGAGCCCCAACCTCCTCCCCAAGACCTTGTCCTTGTCGAAGGTCAGCCCAAGAAACGCAAAGACAAGGGCAAGGAGAAAAAGAAGGATAAAGGCAAGGAGAAGGAGAGTGAGAGAGAAAGGAAAAGGAAGCACGCCCATTCAGCTGGACTGAGTGGTGCAGGGGGAGCGCAGAAGCATGCCCAAGCTGCTGCGACGATTGGGGCTAGTAGCACTCCAAACCCTGCGATTCCCCTGGGGTACTTCTTAAATCTTTCCTGACCGAGGGGGTTCAGGCCGGACGGATTGTTGCTCCCGATTTACTCTCTGATTCGGGAAGGGACATTGTCAATAACATGGACCACAAGGCTCTGTGGCAATGTTACGCTGAACTGCAGATATGGTCTATGATGATGCTCCGAAGGCTAGCCTTGGAGCCTTTGCTAGAGGTGGAGAAAATGCAGATTGAGTTTGCCTCCTCTCAAAAGGCTTTAGCTGATATAGAAGAGGTTCGGTTAAACTTTGCCGAGATCAATAAAGCTTTGGAGGTGGAGGTCACTCAGTATAAGGAGCACTTGCACATAGTAGAAGATTGACTCCAATCCACTGAACAGGCCCTGAGGACTAAGCAGAAGGAGATGTACGAGGCTTTAAGGGTGAAGCCGGAGATGGAGGAGGCTCTGAGAGCCAAATCTCTTGAAATGGAAGATCCCCCTGGCTCGGGAAAAGCAAAAAGCTGAGGCTGAGATGAAAGCCTTTTTTGATAAGTGTTCGGACAAATTGGTATGTTATGAATTCTATTAAGTACTAGCCGACTTCCATTTCGATCCTACCAGACTTCTTTGGCGGCAGGTTCTTATCATATAATGAAGTAAATGATAGTGTAGAGCTTGATGCTGATGCCCCCAGCCGAGTCCAGGCTAATGAGAATGCTCCCGGTCCTGATGCCCCTGGTCCTAATGCGGGGATTGGGAAAATAAGAATAGAGTTCTTTGTAATTTTTTTATTTGTTCCTGGGCCGATAGTGCCTAAATTTTGTAATCCTTTTTTTACAAATGAAATATACCAAACTTTTCCTTTTATTCCTTGTTTCATTATTAGTCGACTACTACTAACATCTTTATGAAAAAATGATAACTTCAACCACTTAAGTATAATAATTGATTTATCTGTTACCGAATAGGGGTGCCCGGGGTAAATGAGTGGTCCTTGACCGAGTAGA